CGCGACGAGAGCAACGAATGCAGCAGCAGCAACCGAGCGGCCTGGAGCAGCACGCGTGAAGTGAAGGCGCGGCGAGCGGCGAGCGGAGCGTGGTACGTGCCAGGAGGTGCTTTCAGGGGGGCCGTGAAGTTAGTCGTAGGTGTCGCCGCGCAGAGGCAAGAGTCGTGTCTGTTGCCCTTCGCTGCTCCACCACTCGCTTTCTAGCTCCTTCTAACCCTCCCTTCTGTTTCAATGCTTCTGTGTGCGTGTCCCTCTCCCCGTGCGTGTGTGTGCCTCACGGCTCACGGCTGCGAGACGAACGAGAATGCCACGGAGTGAGCGGGGAATCGACGCGGCTGCCATTGCTGGCTCGCACGAGAGACAACCGGGAGCAGCACGCCTCAAGTGGAGGCGCGGCGCAGCAGCGGCAGAGTGCCGGACGGAGTGTGGTACGTGCCAGAGGGGCCGTGAAGGGGGGCCGTGATGTGAGTCGTAGGCGTCGCCGCGCAGAGGCACGAGTCGAGTCTGTTGCTTGCTGCTCCACCACTCGCTTCCAGTTGCTTTTAACCCCTTCTGTTTCGCTGCTTGAGTTTGGCTGTCTCTCTCTTCCCGTGCGTGTGTGTGCCTCACGGCCTCCGAGGTGGAGAGGAATGGCACAGCGTAGACGAGGTGGCGCGGAGTGGACGCGGAATGGCGCGGAGTGGACGCGGAATGGCGCGGAGTGGACGCGGAATGGCGCGGAGTGGACGCGGAATGGCGCGCAGTGGTCGCGGAATGGCGCGGGGTGGACGCGGAATGGCGCGGCGTGGGCGCGGAATGGCGCGGAGTGAGCGGGGAAAGGCGCTTAGTGGACGCGGAGTGGTCGCGGAATGGCGCGGAGTGGGCGCGGAATGGCGCGGAGTGAGCGGGGAAAGGCGCTTAGTGGATGCGGAGTGGTCGCGGAATGGCATGTACAGGGCTTCCGTTGCTGGCTCGCACGAGAGAAAACCGTGGCGCGAGGAGAAGGGGCAGCAACAGCTCATTGGCAAGTCAAAGGCAGACAAACTGTGGCGGTCGCGTGGTACGTGCCAGGGAGCACTTGCAGGGGGGGCATGAAGTCGTAGAGCGTCGCCGCGCAGAGGCAAGAGTCGTGTCTGTTGCCCTTGCCTCCGCCGCTCGCGTTTTCTCCTGCTGCTCCTAACCCTCCCTTGCTGCTCTGCTTCTGTGTGCGTGTCCCTCTCCCCATGCATGTGTGTGGCTCATGGCCTGCGAGATGGACGGCAATGGATCGAGTGGACGGGGAACACACGGGCTGCCATTGTTGGCTCGCACGAGAGGCAACCAGAGCAGCATGCCTGAAGTGAAGCCTGGTAGAGCGGCTGACCGAGCCTGGTATGTGCCTGGGCATGCTTCCAGGGTGGGAGTGTAGTGAGTCATAGAGTGTCGCCGCGCAGAGGCAAGAGTCGTGTCTCTTGTCGTTGCCTCCACCTCCCGTTGCTAGCTGCCTCTAACCTCCCTTGTTGCATTGTTTCTTTCTGGCTGCATCTCTCCCCGTGCGTGTGTGTGCCTCACGGCCTGCGAGACGGAGGGGAATGGCAACGAGTGGGCAGGGAATGCACGGGCGTCCGTTGCTCGCTCGCACGGAAGACAACCTGAAGTGTGGCGCAGGAGCGACAGCGCGGCGAACGGGTTATGGTACGCGTGCCAGAGGATGCTTCCAGGGTGGGAGTGTAGTGAGTCATAGAGCGTCGCCGCGCAGAGGCAAGAGTTGTGTCTTCTTGTCCTTGCCTCTACCGCTCGCTTGTCGCTGTTTCTAACCCTCACTTGTTGCATCGTTTCTTTGTGGCTGTGTCCCTCCCTATGCGTGTGTGTGTGTGTGCCTCACGGTCTGTGAGATGGACGGGAATGGCACAGAGTGGACACGGGGTGACAAGCTTGTGGGCTTCGTTCCGGCCCAAGGCACAGCAGCAATGTTGGTGAATGCAGCAGCACTGGTGAGTTGTAGCAGCAGTAGCATTGGCGTCTTGACTTTTCAGCCAAGTATTTTCTCCTCCGATTGCTTTGCCTTTTGTGATGCTAAATGCTCTTCACTTGTACTGCATGTGGTAAATTGCTTTCAACTCTCAACTCTGAAGCCACAGACCCCTCTTATTGCAGGTATCCACAGCAGACCACGAGCTAGCCTGTTGCTGTAGCAGCACACCTGAAGCCTGGAGCACAGGCAGTAGCAGGGTGCTGCTTGGGGCGAAGGCGTGACGAAGGAGCTGCAGGTTCTGCCAAGGAGGAGAAACCATTCAGCTGGAAGGTGGTATGTAAACAGGGAATTCTTGCAGGGTGGGAGTGTAGTGAGTAATAGAGCGTCACCGCGCAGAGGCAAGAGTCGTGTCTTATTGTGCTTGCCTCCACCACTCGCCTCCTCTCCTGCTGCTTCTAAACATCCCTTGTTGCTCCGCTTCTGTGTGGCTGTCTCTCTCCCGGTGCGTGTGTGCCCCTCATGGCCTGCGAGGAGGAGGGGAAAGGCAGCAAGTGGACGGGGAACGCACGGGACTGCCGTTGCTGGCTTGCACGTGGCTGCAGCAATTGCAGGCTGATGGGGAGAACACAAGGAGTTGTGAGTCGACTGCATCAATCTGTATACCCCGTCTCCATTCGCCATTCCCATGTCTATTCTTTTGCCATTCTTGATTTCTAAACAGTTTTCCATGGTGCCCATGTGTTATTGCAGTTGTGTTACCGGATGTTCATGCCTCTAAACAATTTTCCATGGTGCCATTCTGCTCACCTCTCAAACCCCTCCTTTCCCTTCCTCTCCTCTTCTCTGCTCTGATCTCTTTCAGTACCGAAAGGGCAGGACCTTTACTCCAACTCCATCAGTATGGGTGGTAGAGGTGGCAGCAACAGAGCACACGTGCCAGCGGTAGTTGCAGCATCAATGGCTGCTGCGGTGGTTGCAGCAGTGATCAGGTGATTATTACTTTCTCAAGTGCTTCCTGGTTTCTTCTATGCACTGGTTGCTGCTGGGGGTGTAGTTGCTGGATTCGCATTCGCAATTTGACTATACAATGACGGTACTTTGTGCCTTTTGATCAGCTTCACTCGTGTAGCTTCTGTAGTGCCGTGCGCTTTTGCAGCTTGTAAATAGCTCCTTGTTACATTTCCTTGCCTTTCTTCCATGTCTCATAAGTGGCTCTTGTGGTGATGTGCAGGGCGAGGTAGAGGACATGTGGGCCGAGGCAGTATGGGGGTCTACCTCCAAGAGCTCAAGATGCGTTGCTGTTGTGCTTAGCTGTGCCTAGCCGTGCTTCATTGTGCTTATCTGTGCTTAGCTTGCCTAGCTGTGCTTAGATGTGTCAGATGTGCTGTGTTGCGCTGGGCCAGGACGGGATGAGTCTGCATGTTGTAGAATAGGTGGGTGGGGTCTGGAAGGTGCCTGCCTGGGCACAAACACCCAAGCAGGACAGAGTGGCTCAGTGGCCTCCTCCAGGCGCTGTGTCACTGGCATGATGGCATGCCCGATGATGTGCCCGTGGCATGAGCAGGACTTGGCTACGCTACAGGCCACGCCACGGCCAGGCCCTCGCGCTCACAGCGTTGAAACGACTGGACTGGAAGTTTTGCTGTGCGTTTAACAGATGAGCAGGACTTTGCTGCTGCTGGCGGAGCCCTCGCTCGGTAAGGTGCAGCTGGCATGAGAGGCACACGCCTCTGATGCGGATGTGGCAAAGGGAGTGCAGTGAAGCCTCCCATACACTGCATGGGACAAAGCATGCATGCATCACAAATAGGTCATGCTACAGGCATACCGTACCCTTGTCAGGATGACAGGGAATGCCAAGAAACAGGTTTCTCAGGCAACCACACCACATCTGCCAAGCCACGGCCACCAACCAACCAGCCTGCCAACCAGCATATGGTACCAGCCTACCAGCTGACCATCCCCTTCCACCAGTCTACCAGACAACCAGCCTACCAGTCAGCCAGCATATCAAGCATAATTTTAAGGTGAGCAATACCAGAAACGAACATATTCCAAACCGAGTGTTTGTGCGCAAGCATTTCGTGTTTCTTTATTACTGGTACAGTACGATGTGTTGTCTCGAGTATGCCGAGCCACGCGCATGTTGCCTCTCCGAATGAATTCCCAGTTCAACGTATTCTCCTCTGCATGCCGTTCTCTGGGCAGGAAGCCTTTCCTCTTTAGTGCGTGAACCGTTTGCCGTGAAGAAGGCGAGAGAACCATCGGGAAACGAGCTGCCATCTGGCATCGTCGCATGCGCGTGTGACTCCTTCGCATCAGGCTGATTCGTCGGGCATTGTAATCTGCGATTCCGCGTAGTGTGTCTCTGCTGCTCGGTCTAAATGGCCAACAGCGGCATTCCAGAGGTCGTTAGACGCCTCTGTGGCTGTTCAGCTTACGATGGATTCTCCGTTCGGCTCTCCACGGGAGGCCGGCAGAGGACGAGGCAGGACTTTCGGCGGATATGGCGGTAGAGTAGGAAGCTCCGGAAGCGCAACGGACGATTATTCTCCAAGGCATGGGGGGTTTCAGCATGGGGGTTATCAGCAGTCTGGATTTTATCAGGGAGGTCGCGGACGTGGTGGGAGCGGAAGGGGATGGGGAGGACGAGGCGGAGGAGGGCGAGGAGGTTTGGCGAGCTCCGACGGGCAGGAGAGGAGGGTGCCGAGCCTGTGGACCTTCTTGCCGAACGATCGGGAATTTACAAATCAGTTTCAGATGAGGCTGTTCGTTCAAGCAATGGAGGGTCACGATGTTTCAGGCACGTCACATCCGTTTCCGTTTCTTCGGTTCCTCCTCTGACTCGTTCTGTGCGTTTTCTTTGTCACGATGCTGACTGACGTACGACTGTTATAATCATGTCCCGTGTGGTGCAGATCTTGTGATCGTCCTTGCTGACGACAAGCTCTATGGCAGGAGGAAGCTTCTGAGCATTTGCGATGAGGCTGTGTGCTGCGGACCAGAAAGATCTGTGTCAGCTGGGAACCACCCTCGGACCGTATCCTTCCAGAGCGTGATCCTGCCAATGCTACAAGTCATTTGTCAGGTAACAGGTTGCACTTTGCCTTGCCTTTTTCTTCCACAGATTGTTACTATACTGTTGGACGCTCTCACGGATGCGAGCTTTGGTTGACCTCTTATCTTATACGACATTTTTCTCTCTGCTTTCTTTTTCTGCATGTTTTCAGCCTGCGTTTTTCAACAATCCGGCATCAAGCAAGGTGAACACGACCCTAGCAGCCGTCGCCGAGGTGGACGGCTTTCAAGACTATCTCGTAGCCTGCATGAGGCTGCTCACCCAGCGCGGCATGATCCGCGGTCTGGGGAGAGCAGACGGGAGAGAAGGCGATGGAGGCATCAGGGAGTGGGACGTGGCGTTTGGCATTGTGCTGAGCTTCTTCCACGAGACCATGCTGCGGTTCCACTCCTTGTTCGCCGCTGCACAGGCCAGCAGGGACCTGCAGGAGCTGGAGGGCATGCTGGAGAGGTGGCAGAGGGAGCAGCCGGTGTTTGATGGCAGGTACCACCATCTGCGGTCGGTGATTTACCGGCTCAGGAGGGCTGTTGATGTGAGGAGTCACAGTGAGAGGCAGAGGCGGAGGGTGGAGGAAGGGCAGATGCTGCATGAAGACTTCTTCCCTTCAGGTTCGCCTTCAGGAATACCCTTTCTTAAATGTAGATGTCATTTGACACAATTGATTTATTGAAGCAAGCAAGTCGTTTTTGTCTGATCTCACACTCGTCCTGCTGCAGGTCAGCGGCTGTCAAGCATGCAAGCCGTGGATGGGCCGGGTGAGCTCAGCTTGGCTGGCCGGCCAAGGCATGATAACGACCATGTGGACATCTCAGCTGTAAGATTCAACTTGCTGAGTGTCTTGCTGTCCAACATGCTGAATGTCATCTATCAGCTCTATTCTTTAAAATTTCAGCAGTAGCATTTCCTGCTGAATATTCAGTTTATCACGTTTAGCCTGTTGCAATGTACGAGAAGGTTGTCAAATTATATTTTCCATTGGCCTAACCACATGCCCATGATGGTCTCCTGTCCTGGTGACCCCCTTGCCTGACGGCAGATCTCAGTGGCTCCAACAATGGAGGAGGTTCTCTGCAAGGCATCGCCGTACCTGCCGCACAACCACGCCAGCGAGCCACACCACCTGCCTGCGGGCTCGGTGGCCCGCCACGTGGATATCCAATTCCGCCTGCTGCGCCATGATCTCATTGCCCCGCTCTGGAGCAAGGCACTCTTCCTCCTCCACCGCCTCAACCATGAATCCTCCCGTGGCGATGGCAGCAGCAGCAGTGGTGGCAGCTGGAGGGGTGGCGGCGGGAGCAGCAGCAGGGAGGAGGCGATGGGGTTGGTGCGGGCGGACAGGGAGATGGTGAGGGGTCTGACGGATGACATGAAGGGCGTGGTGGGGTTTTCATCCGAGGACATGGACGTTTATCTGCTCAGGGACGTGCGCGTGCTGTCGATTAATACTGATAAGCGCAGTGGCGTGTACTTTCTGATTGACTTTCTGGAGCCACCCATGCCGCGGGGTCGGCGCTCTCGTAACAGGTAGATCGATTTGATGCGGCCAGATTATGCCAGTTTTCTGCTTCCTATTGTTGAATATGCACCGGATTTGCATCCATGCGGTGTCTTCTCGGGTTGATTCGCAGTCAGCAATCAATCAGCATCATCCCTGCTTGCATTACAGGTTGGAGTTCTGGGAGAACACGCGGAGGCTGCAGAACGGCTCCCTGGTGTGTCTATGGATCCGAGATATCCACCCAAGTCAGCACCGTCCCAGGGAGCGCAGGGAGCAAGGCGGCGCAGATGCATCCTGCTCGCACCGGCTGGTGTTCGCAACCATCACAGCAAGGGACACAGAGAGGCTCGCCACTGCCCGGCCGCAGATCGGCGTGCAACCTTGTGGGGGTAGCGGGTTCAGTGCCGACCTGCTGGGACTGATCGCTCGGGACGGCAGTGGGGGGACTGCAGGGGGTGCAGGTAGTGCTGTGAGTACGGGCAGCACGCAGGTGGTGATGCTGGAGGCGCATGGGAGTTTCTTTGCGTACGAGCCCATTCTCAAGGCCCTGCAAGGGATTACTGAGGCGACGCTGCCCTTTGCTGAGTACATCTGTGGGGCACCTGGCGGGGCACCTGGCGGGGCACCTGGTGGGGCACCTGGCGGGGCACCTGGCGGGGCACCTGGCGGGGCACCTGGTGGGGTTACTGCGAACTTGGGATATACGTTGCCTGCTTACATCACAGCAGGGATGATGTAAGTGGACGGGGTAGGTAGAGTGAGGGGTGGTGGGGTGAAAGGGATGGGGGAGTGGAGGATGTTATCGGTAGTTCCGTGTGTTATGGCATAGATACTATCAGCATGATGGCAGATGGCAGAGATACTAATCGTCCATGTGCGTTCTTGGCAGGTATGATATGAGCCTGCTGCTCAAGACCAAGCCACCGTCGTCCTCCCAGCAAGCAGAAGCCACTCCAGAGGATGCGTTCGCTTTGAGCAACGTCCCCATCTCCAACCCCACGGCCTTCCCCATCGATCCTCTCCTGCGCTGCACGTCACTGGACCGTCCCCAAGCTGTGGCGCTCCAGGCCGCCTTGACTCAGGAGTTCGCTCTGCTGCAGGGCCCTCCTGGGACAGGCAAGGTGGGTTGCGAGGCATTTCAGAATTGGATCAGTCAGTTGGGTTGTGAGGCTGCCCTCACTCAGTGGTTGTGCTGACAGAGAGCGGGACACTTAGCTGAAGGTTAGATGACTGGTGTGTGGTATCTGTTGACGTGTTGCTGAAGGATACTCATATGCAATCCTGTACCAACTGGACATTACCGTTTGCAATGGCAGACGTATGTGGGGATAAAGCTGGTGGAGATCCTGCTGAGCAACGCCCTCAAGAGCGCTGGTGGTGCTGGTGGAGCAAGCAGTGGGGCCGGTGGACTGGGTCCCATCCTGTGTGTGTGCTTCACCAACCACGCTCTCGATCAGTTCCTGGAGGGGCTCATCGCCAGTGGCATCAAGAACGTGAGTTGATGCAATGCAAGGGGTCGTGCTGGGTTTGGGCGGGTTGTTGTGAGTCCCAGCTCTTCTGTGGGTCCCATCCGGTGTGTGTGCTTCACCAACCATGCTCTGGATCAGTTTCTGGAGGGGCTCATCGCCAGTGGCATCAAGAACGTGAGCATAATAATCTAATTGCTCTGCAGCGGTTGTGCTCGAGACTAGGGCCCTTCCTGTATGCTCTTCTGGTTTTCAAAAACACCGTGCTTCTTCACCCGTGCCTGGGATCAGTCCCTGTAGGGCCTCGTTGCTGTGGTGGTACTTGCGGTGGTGCCTGCGTGAGCAGGTGGTGCGAGTGGGCGGCAGGAGCAGATGCGAGTCCCTGCAGCAGTTCAATCTGGCCACCATCATGAGAGACACGCACCTTCACCACAGCCGCAGTGAGTTGACGTTGCCAATCTTTCTCATAAGCGGAGTAACAGCCTTATTACGAGGAGCAGCGGATGGCTACAAGAGCCTTAAGCGCACAAGTACACGCTTTTTGCCCCTGCCTGCTGTGTCCTACAGTGTTTGCATGTAGGCTACAGGCACTCAACCCACAGATGACGTTTGAGGCAGCGTCTTAAGAATTCTCCGTTGTATGGCGTGGGCTCGTATGCGTGCATGCAGGCTACAGGCAGTCGACCTACGAGGTGCACAGCAGGCTCAAGGAGGTGGAGTCAGTCATCCGTGCCCACAGCGATGCACTGCAGCATCGCAGGGACAATGCCGCTGTGCTCTCTTGGCGCTCCATCGCCCCGCACCTCCTCGCCAACCACCCCGTCTTCTTTTACGCCCTCCATGCTGCTAGCAAGGCAGACGAAGATGGGTTTCAGGTGTGTGGGCCAGTCGGTGGAAGGGGATTGCTTCTTGTCTCTGTTTCTTCGAGCTCTCTTTTGCGTTTGCATACAGCAGAAATGACTAGCTTCGCTGTTCCTGGTCACTTCGTTTTGCTGCTCCCTTGGCAGGAAGTCGGTGGTCAAGACAACTGGGGCCGGTGGAAGCGAGGACAGCCAAAGAAAACGCCCCGCCGCAGCCGCAAGAAGGGGGCTTTCAACCTGGGAAGAGAATCCGCCAGGCTTGATGTACCTCCTCGGGTGATGGAACCGGGGATAGGGGACATGGAAAGGGCGGGTGCAGCCACAGCTGTCAGCAACGAGCGGCCCACTCAGAACCCATACGAAGCCTTGGGCAGGCTTGGAGGGGTTGAGGTTGGGGAGGGGTGGCATGTGAGCAGCGGTGAGAGGGATGACGGCGTGGGGGATGAGCTGAGAGGGCTTGTTGAGCTAATGTCGTCCATCTATGTTGATGCTGATGGTGCTGGTGGTCATGATGGTGATGCCGGGAGTGATGATGGGAGTGATGGAGATGGGGAGGCGGTGGTGAGACGGCTAATCCACGATGGGGGTGGTGGCAGCAGTGGTGGTGGGGCATGGCGGGCCACAGGCAGTGGAGCTGCTGCTGGCTTGCGCTCTTGGCTTGGAGTCGGTGCGACAGCGGGAGCGGGACTGGAGAGAGGAGGGGGATTCGGAAGTGGTGGGGCAGAGATAGGGGGAGGCATGTGGGGGGCCCAGGAAGGGCAGCAGCAAGGAGGGATTACCGTGGAGGGTTTGTCTCAGGCGTTCGGTGACTTGGGCAACCAAACAGGCATTGGTGGTTGGGAGCAGCACATGGAGGAGCAGGTGGAGGAAAATCAGGCGGAGGAAAATCTGATGGAAACAGTGGAGGTGGATGAAAGGAGTGACCGAGGGGTGGAGGAGCTGCTGTGCGTGGCGGATCCGTGGGCAACCAGTGCGCAGGAGAGGCGGAAGCTGCTGGAGTACTGGGTGGGGGAGCTGAGGGACACAGCGAACGCTGCAATTGAGGCTGAGGTTGAGAGCTTTGCAAGGTACCACAACACAATCTCACGCGTTCCTCTCTCTGCTCTTTGCTGCGAGCTGCGAATGTGAATGCTGAGCGGCACCTGTGCTGTGAGCAGGAAGGTGAAGGAGCGCAGCGAGCTGCAACAGATGGAGGAATTGGGAGGTCGCACAATACCACTGAGGCTATGTCTTGGCATGCGCTGCATGTGTTTTGTGCCGTGTGTGCGTGAGCAGGAAGGTGAAGGAGCGCAGTGAGTTGCAGCAGATGGAGGAGTTGGAGGTGCTGAAGAGGGCGCAGGTGGTGGGCATGACCACGTCCGGGGTGGCCAAGATGCAGCGCCTCATCACGGCACTCGGCCCGCGCGTCATCATAGTGGAGGAGGCTGCTGAGGTGCTGGAGGCGCACATTCTCACCTCGCTCACCCCGCGGACGCAACATGTCATTCTTATTGGTAGGTGATGGGGTTGTGGTTGAGTGTCATCTGTAGCTGCGGGCCTGCGGCTCAAGGTGGAGGTGTATGAGCTGAGCAAGGACTCACCCAACTCCCCCATTTATTTTCTGCCCCATTCTTGTGCCACTTCCACTTGTTTATTTCAGGAGATCACCTGCAGCTGCGGCCCAAGGTGGAGGTGTACGAGCTGAGCAAGGACTCCCACAAGGGATTCGACCTGGACGTCTCTCTCTTTGAACGCCTGGCGCTTAGCACTGACCTCTCTATCCACTCTTGTGCCACTACCACCAGGTGACCACTTGCAGCTGCGCCCTAAGGTTGAAGTGTACGAGCTGAGCAAGGACTCCCACAAGGGCTTCGACCTGGACGTCTCTCTCTTTGAACGCCTGGCGCTTAGCACTGACCTCTCTATCCACTCTTGTGCCACTACCACCAGGTGACCACTTGCAGCTGCGCCCTAAGGTTGAAGTGTACGAGCTGAGCAAGGACTCCCACAAGGGCTTCGACCTGGACGTCTCTCTCTTTGAACGCCTGGCGCTTAGCACTGACCTCTCTATCCACTCTTGTGCCACTACCACCAGGTGACCACTTGCAGCTGCGCCCTAAGGTTGAAGTGTACGAGCTGAGCAAGGACTCCCACAAGGGCTTCGACCTGGACGTCTCTCTCTTTGAACGCCTGGCACTCTCCAGGCGCCTCCCCGTGTACACGCTCGCCACGCAGCGCCGCATGCGCCCTGAGATCGCCGACCTCATCCGCTGCACCATCTACCCCGCTCTGCAGGACCATCCGCTCGTCCACGGGTAGGTGTTTGGTTGCGTTTGCAGCATGAGAATAGTTGCTTTGGCACCAAGTAAATTAGCTGCTGCACCATGTTCCTTAGGCTGCAAAACTATCCCCTGGTATGCCTTTGGTTCGTTCACAGGGTGGGAGGGAACGCTCCTTATATTTATCTCCTCTCTCTTTGTCTGTCTGCCATGGCTTGTTCTGTTTGCATCCCCTGACCAGCTACCCTGACGTGCGCGGCATGGCAGTCAACCTGCACTTCTGGGACCACGACTGCCCGGAGAGCGGCTTAGACGACTTCAACGAGGGCAAGTCCAAGTCCAACGACGGCGAGGCAGCCCTGGTGGTGGGGCTCGCCACGTACCTCTTACAGCAGGGGTACACGGGGGGCGAAATCACCATCCTCACGCCCTATGTGGGCCAGCTGCTGAAGCTGCGCCAGGCGCTTTCTCAGGTGGTGGATGTGCGCCTGGGGGAGAGGGATGCCGAGGTGGCGGAGGAGGCCGTGGAGAAGGGTGGTGCTGGGGAAGGTGGGGCTGAGGTGGGGGAGGGTGGACGTGGGGGAGGTGAGGCTGCAGGGTCGTGGGTGGCGGGGAAGGGGTTGGGGGTGGGTCTGGATGCCACTGCTCCCAAGGCGACGACGGCGAACCTGAAAGATGCAGTGCGGTTGGCCACGGTTGACAAGTAAGTCTGGCGGCTAGGCAGCAGCTTGCGTTGCTTTGTCCCAACAGATTCTGAAAATTCTCCCTCTGGTTTTGCTGATTTGTTGTACTGTTGGCGGAGTGCAGTTTCCAGGGCGAGGAGAGCACGGTGGTGATCATCTCTCTAGTGCGCAACAACATGGACGGCAAGATCGGTTTCCTCAAGAGCCCCAACCGCACCAACGTGCTGCTCTCCCGCGCCAAGCACGGCATGTTCATCATCGGTGCGTGCATGCAAGCATGGCATAGCACATGACCTAAGTTTGGGATTCATGCCCTTGCTTTTTCAGGACAGGCCAGGCCAACACAAGGCATGCATGCCTCTGATTGCCCTTCATTTCCTTCCTCCCCATCAATCCCTTTTCCGTAAGCAGGCAACGCCAGCACCATGAGGGCGAGTTCCAAGTCCGTGCTGTGGCCACGAATCCTGACCATTCTGCACAGCAGGGGGCGAGTGGGGAGGTCCATTCCGCTGCGGTGTGTGAACCACAGCGACACGGTGACGCACATCCATGATGCGAGGGAGTTCAGGGAGAAGGCGAGTGAGGGAGGATGCTCCCAGATGTGCGGCTTCCGCCTCACCCCGTGCGGCCACACCTGCCCCCGCAGGTGAGAACTACGTGCATGGAGTTCGTGCAATGCATGCATGTACTTGTATCGTACTTGTTGTTGTCCTCATAGGTAGGATGGTTGTCAAAAGCGTGTAACGTCGTCCACATCCTTCTGTCTTCCTCACCCGACTGTTTCCTTCCCTCAACCCAACAGGTGCCACGGGGACGACAGGGCACACGCGAGGGCGTTCTGCCCCAAGGAGTGCAACCGGATTCGCCCCATGGAGGAGTGTCCGCACCAGCACACGTGCCCCAAGCAGTGTGGGGAGCCCTGTGGCCCCTGCACCGTCACCATCAGGGCACTCACTCTCCCCTGCGGCCATCCCGCCTTCAATGTTCCGTGCTTCCAAGCTCACAAGCCCACCTCCATCTTCTGCCCGTGAGTCCGCCTGTCCGACTCCTCTTCCGCCCAACGCTACTTGCTCCCGTCTAGTCAACCGTCCCATTCCTCCTTCCTCCTCACTCCTAACCCCCTCGTTCTTCACCATGTCTCCTGTCCGGGCAGTATGTCTGGTCGGCCTGCCTGCATCCAGTCACCTCCGAGACTAACTGTGTGTTACCGTGTGCATGATGGCAGGGAGAGGGTGGAGGTGACGATGCCGCTGTGCGGGCACAAGCAGACCGTCAAGTGCAGCGAGTCCGCAGCCAAGATGAGCAACCCCAAGCTCTGCACCGCTCGCTGCGGGGCTATCCTTTCAGATTCCTGTGGGCACACCTGCATCTCCCCCTGCGGCCTCTGCATCGTTGACCCAGCTGCCACTGCAGAGCCTCAACAGACACAGGAACAGCAGCAGGAGCAGCCGGCAAGGAGGCACAGGAAGTGCATGCAGCGGTGCGAGCGGCCCCTCCCCTGCGGCCACCTGTGTCCCGACACCTGCCACAGCGACCGACCTTGCAGCCCCTGCACGCGCAAGTGCCTTGTCTCCTGCCAGCACAGCTCGTGCCCACAGCCCTGCCACCGCACCTGCGCCCCCTGCGCCGAGCCTTGCGGGTGGCGCTGCATTCACCAGGGGGCATGCTCCCTCCCCTGCGGCGCTCCCTGCGACCGCCTTCCCTGCGAGCAGCGGTGTGAGAAAACGCTCAAGTGCGGCCACCAGTGCCCCTCCCTCTGTGCTGAGAAATGCCCTTCTGAGGCGTACTGCACGGCTGCTGGGTGTGGGTCAGCGGAGAAGAGAGGGATGACGGTGGATTTGGTCACACTGGAGACTCTGGGGGAAATTGATCCGGATGAGAGCCCTGTGCTTGTACTGGGATGCGGACATGCTTATACCGTGGATACTCTGGATGGGCATATGGGGTTGAACCAGGTGTACTTAGAGGCTAGTGGTGGGTCCGGTGGGGATTCCGGTGGTGCGAGTGGGTCTAGTGGGGTGAGTGGTGGTGGAGGGGAGTGTGGGCGTAAGTGGGTGGCAGTGTTACCGTTTGAGGATGGTGATTTGTCGATTCTCAAGGGCTGTCCGGAGTGCCGACAGCCAATCACGGGGCTCCGCCGGTACGGCAGGATGGTCAACAAGGCCCTGCTGGACCAATCAGAGCGCAAGTTCGCTCTCAGCTGCTTGGCAGACCAAGAAGCGGTGCAGAGGAAGCTAGCGCGGTTGAGCCAGGTGATTTCTTCACTCACAGAATCCGCTCAGCCCAGGCGGCTGCAGGAGGTGGCTCAGGCTGCAACTCGCCTGGTGCATGAGACTGGCCAGCTGTGTGCCACCGCTGCAAACCCACCAACGCAGCAGACCTACCAGGCCTCTGTAGCGGCCCTGCAGCGACAGCACTACCTGCAGGGGCATAGCTCACGTGCGACTGGTAGCAGAAAGGGTAGGCAGGGGCGTGCGGGCCCGTCTGAGTCAACATGGGAGGAGGAGTGCCAGTTGCTGTATGTCCCCCGTCCAGATCCCAGACCCCTCTGTGAAGCGCGCATGATGCTGGGGAAGGCCTTTCAGCTGCTCATGGCTGCAAACTTCCTCCAACTGCGGAACCTCCTTGGGAATCTACGGAAGACTGTGGGGAGCTCTGCTGGCACGAGCGGGGAGAGCAGCAGCAGGAAGGTGGTGTATCTGACGCGCTGTGTGGAGAGATGCAGGGAAGTGGTGCGGACGAGTGTGAGGAGTGCGGAGAGGCATGTGGGGGAGGCGGTGGAGTGGGCTGGGCGGCGCAAGGCTGTGAGGCTGGAGGCGAGGGCACGCCTGGAGTTGGTTGATGTGCTCCGTGCGTTCGTGCAGGGCCTCATGGCGGAACGACTGCTTTTCAACTCCCCGTGAGCTCACTGCTGCTGCTGTTCTTGCCATCTGCAACTCATGACATATATTCTGGCACGCCTTCTCATCCCTATATTGTTTGTTACACACAACTGTGAAGCTCCAGAGTGGCGGACGGAAGTTTCAAATAGGCCCAACTTGGCATTGTGCTTTCTTTTGGCAGGGGGTGGCAAAGAGGCAGCAGGTGGAGTATCTGGAGAAGGCAAGGACACAGTGCGGCATGGTGGCTTTCCACCCCTTACTCTCCATCCGAGAGGAGGCCAGCCTTGGGAAAAGCGCTCGAAAGCTACTTGAGGAGGAGCTGCCTACCCTGGAAGCAGCTGTGCTGGATGAGCCTCGTTACTTTGCGCTGACGGAGCGTGAGAAGGGTGATGTGTACAGAGCGATAGGCCTGGGTGGAGGGCACTGGTATCGGTGCCCCAACGGGCATGTGTATGTGATAGGGGAGTGTGGCAGGGCGTGGGAGGAGTCGCGTTGTCCCGAGTGCAACGAGGTGGTGGGCGGGAGAGGGCATGTGCTGCGTGAAGGCAATGCCAGTGCATCGGACTTCTTCGGAGGGTCTTGAAGGTTTTGAGTCGCTGTACTGCTAGCCATAGCACATGTATTGGCTCTTTGATGTTGATAATGCAAATGTCTGTAGATATTGTATATATGTACGATCAGTGGCATGGAACTCTAGTAAATGCGTTTTTGAAGATGATGTATGTGAATTTTGAAGTATGACTTCTTTTTTTCAGCATCAATGAATCAGCAAAAGTATCCCCGTGCATTTGAAATGTGGTTTTGAGTTAAAGTTAATCCTATCGTAACAACGTACATTCTATCGTTCTAGTCATGATTCGATATTGAGTTCAAGATGCCTTGAAGTGGCGTACGAATATCTTTTGATTCGCCAAAACCAGTGGCCGAGAGGCGAAGGCTCTCCATGTCCGCCCATGACCCCCCACAAGTTCTAACCCTTCGCCACGTGGCTCGGTCGCATGTGACCAGCGACGGATCTTCCTGGAGATCGCTGACGGACGACGGTGCGCGTGACGGGGCACGAGTTTCTCGAGGCACTTGTTTGGCGCCGAGTGCCCAGCGAGCGGGGAAACGACCGTCGCCAGCACAGCGAGTTGCCACGCTGGCAACTTTCCGCCATGGATCAGGGACCACCTGCCAAGGTGCGTTCTCATCCACTAGCTCTGGAAGATAAGCCACAGTGCCAAAATTCCCCGCAATTCCCGTGGTACAGTGCAGTAGGCGTAGAAAGGATGCTGCTATTTCGTAGCCGTTTTTGCTTCTGTGTCAGAGGAGCGACCAGCAGAATTCCCAGACAGTTGTCGTGGAATTTTGGCACAGATTAGCACATCCCCCCGCATCCAGGAGTGCTAGAGAACTCAAAATGGCTGCCACCGCTGCGCGAAGCCTGTCGGTCCCTGCAGCCGTCTCGACCGGCGATGCCGCGGCCAGGAAGGCGTTTTCCGGCGAGAAAGTCGCGGGATTTGCGCAGTCGGGGCTGAAAGGCAAGGCTTTGAGATGCGAGTCTAAGAAGGTCGCGGTGCGCGCAGCCAAGAAGGCTGCCGTGTCCGCCGTCCTAGCCGAAGCCACACCACAGCAGTCTGTGGTAAGGACAGATTTCGCCCGTAGTCTTAATCTAGCGTCTCCCTCCTGATTTTCCTTGAAACGTAGTTCTGACAGCTGACTGACCTCGTAAGGCATTTTTCATCCATGGCAGGCAAGGTCAAAGCGCGCCGATCCCAAGTCGGTTGTCTCGGTGATTCTCGGTGGAGGTGCGGGCACGCGTCTCTTCCCGCTCACCAAGACCCGCGCCAAGCCCGCGGTACGCATATACGTTGTCAATTCAATCCTCCAAATCCGATGCGTGCCGTAGTTTCGCAGGAAGATTCTGGATGAAATGTCGGGGCTGACGCGTGAATCCATCTCATGTCAATCTTTCCGTTGGCCAGGTGCCTATCGGCGGCGCGTACCGGCTGATCGACGTGCCGATGAGCAACTGCATCAACAGCGGCATCAACAAGGTGTACATCCTCACGCAGTTCAACTCCGCCTCGCTCAACCGTCACCTCGCGCGCACCTACAACTTCGGCAACGGCGTCAACTTCGGCGACGGATTCGTCGAGGTGCGTGCTCTCGTGCAACTCGTCGCTCCTATGTAGCATCATCTGGCATCCTTAATCTACAAATGCGTCCTTTTTTTTTTTGTTCTGTTATGTGTGTTTCTCAGGCTCTTGCGGCCACCCAGACTCCCGCGACGGGCTCCAACTGGTTCCAAGGAACCGCCGACGCCGTGCGGCAGTTCTCCTGGCTCTTCGAGGTGCGACCGCGGGACCTAAAAACAGACTTGCTCACTTCCGTTTGCAGTTTTTATGTGTTTCTTCCCGTCCGATGGGGACGTGAATGCAAGATTTCGTCGCTGCATTTCGTCAAGCGCTTCGCGTTGTGCGTACCGGGGGACGGTGTTGGGTGTGGCAGGATGTGAAGAACAAGCACGTGGAGGATGTGGTCATTCTGTCCGGCGACCATCTCTATCGCATGGACTACATGGACTTCGTCCAGGTACTGTCTTCCTGTACAGATTAACGTGCATCGTTTTTATCGTTCCCGCGTGTACATTGCAGGCGTCTCAGGAATGTTGACGGACTCTATCCTGCATTCCATGGCTGTGCATTTCCTCGCTCTGATACGAGCTTCTGCCCTGCGAGTTCCCAACATGCCGTGCGATGGTTGTGTTGCTCCGTGCTTGCTGCGTGCGTGCCGAGTGCAGAAGCACAAGGACACCAACGCCGACATCACCATCTCCGTGCTGCCCATGGACGACAGGTGAATGCCGCCACGCCGCACCACACCACACCACACCACACCACATTACATCATCGCATGTGATACCTTTGAGCCACTCTATCCCGAGCGTCGCAATGCTAAATGTTTCCGCTTTGTTTCCCATTGTTTGACATGTGATTCGCTGTTGTTGCGCGCAGCCGCGCGTCCGACTTCGGGCTGATGAAGATTGACGAGTCCGGCCGCGTCGTCAGCTTCGCGGAGAAGCCCAAGGGTGCCGACCTCAAGGCCATGGTGAGTTAGAGAGGGCTTCGCCTCTCAGTTGTCGGCTTCCCGTCCGCTGTTACCGCGTTATGCCCTGGTGCTGGATATTCCTTCCGTGAATGTCCTTACGAAACGGGCTTTTCCGAGCAGGACATTCACTTGCACACTAGCGCGTATTTCGTTCTTTCCCCCCGATGTTTCGTTCTTCGAATACGTGCGACCTTAAGTCGCGCCGTGCGTTCTACCTGGATGCCCCTCATTTTCCGTATCATGTCGCACCCTCCTCCCCCTTCGCCCCTCTCTCCCTCCCCGTCCGTGCTCGCCCCCTGCCATCTACCAGGAGGTGGACACGTCGATTCTCGGCATTTCCAAGGAGGAGGCGGCCAAGTTCCCCTACATTGCGTCCATGGGCATCTACGTCTTCAAGAAGGACATCCTGCTCAAGCTCCTCAGGTAACCCCGCCGCTTCTGCTCCTCAGGTAACCCCGCCGCCTCCGCTCCTCAGGCAGTCCTTACGCCGCTATTCAGTTATTATGGTCTCGCATCCTCAGCAAATGCCACCGCCGCTCCTCAAGCTTACCAACGTGACGCACCTCCCAGGCAATGATCCCGTCCCGCGCTTATCGCATGCGCGCTTTGTGCTGATGTAACGCGAGCGTGTTTGCCGCCATGCTTCCCTGTCCCCCCCCCGCGCAGGTGGCGCTTCCCCACGTCCAACGACTTCGGCGGAGAGATCATCCCCGCGTCTGCCGCCGAGTACAACGTGCAGGTTCGTACCGCCACTGCTTACAAACGCGTGAATAAAGCAGAAGAAACGGCTAGGCGTCACATCACCCACACCCACTCTTGACTTGTCATACGTGGTTGCCGCTCCGGGTGCGGCGCTGCATTCCGTCTGCATGAAATCTCAACCTCTGTCATGCTCGCCATCTCGCCATTCCACATGCCGCTCGTCCTTCGCCGTTCACCCATTCCTGTTCTCGCCCCATTCTGACCCTGTACGGTGCGTTGCGGTGTGGTGCGGTGCAGGCGTACCTGTTCGACGGTTACTGGGAGGACATCGGAACCATCAAGTCCTTCTTTGATGCTAACCTCAACCTCACCGACACGGTATGCGCACAGCCCCCTCGTCTCCCCTACTCTCCGCTCTTCCTTCAGCTGCTTCCCATGCCCTCACCCGCCCCCAGTATCCCTCCTCTCGAATGCCCGAACCTTATTTCCTCGTTGCCCTTCCGTTTTTTGGCCGCAGCATTTTAACTCCGCTCATGCATTCTTTCACAATAAAGGACTCCTCTCTCCCTTCTCTTCCGAACCCCCACTTCCCCCCCTCCCCCCTTGGTCCCGCCTCCCCACCTCTTCCGGTTCTCCCCCCCCCCCTCCCCACCCGCCGCACCACAGGACGCCAAGTTCAGGTTCTACGATGCGGCCAACCCCATCTACACGTCGCCACGCTACCTGCCGCCCACTCAGATTGAGCGCTGCCAGGTACGCTACGCGCGCCTCTCCCTGCTGCGATGCGTGGTTCACCCGCCAGGTGCCATGCCCCTTGTTTCCCCATGCTCTTTGCTATCGTCGCTTGCCCTATGACCTTGCAGCGTTTATGCCTTTGTTTTCGTGCCGCGCGTTTACTCACTTGGCGAAAATGCCGTTTGCATGTGCCGGGTGGGCGTGTGCGTGGTGGCATGGGTGGTGGGGCGTTGCTTTGCACGATGACGAGCAGGTGAAGCAGTCGATCATCTCGCACGGGTGCTTCCTGCGCGACTGCACCGTCAACCACTGCATCGTCGGCATCCGCTCTCGACTCGAGAACGGCGTCAACCTCAAGGTCAGTCGCCAGTCGCCCACATGCCGCTTGCACGGTGCTAGTCACGGATGAAGGGCAAGAGCATTGGCGCTGCTGCAGAGATGCGGTGCGGGGATGGGACCGCGGTAGTGGCTGGACTCGAGGAGAAAGGAGCGGCACTAAGTGGGGTGGTGAAGAGTGAGGCACTTTTGGTGCAAGAGATTCAGAGTGTGGTTGGCGGTATCGGCATGTGGGAATGATACAGACTCTGTACCAGCGGCGAGACGAGAGAGTGTCTGTGATTAGACAGCGCCCTTCTTGGGGCGGAAACAGGGGGTTACGATACAACTCCCTGGTCAATCACTCACGGGCATGTGAGCAGGCGTTAGTGGCCTGCGTACAAGGAGTATGAGCCGCGTGGGGAAGCTAGAGCAATTGGCTTTTGCGTTCGAGCAAGAACTGGCTTGTGGGGCTTGCCGTTTTGGCCCAAGCCTTGCCTACCCTAGCCCCCCTCCTCCTCTCACTCTCTCACTATCTCCCGCACCCGCTATATTGGCGCACTTGACATGGCAACAGGACACGATGGTGGTGGGCGCGGATTTCTACGAGACGGACGCGGAGAGGGCGGCTCTTCTAGCTGCTGGCAAGGTGCCTGTGGGCATCGGCGCCAACACCATCATCAGGTGCGCAGAGGGCAAAGAGGCGTGGGAAGGGCGAGGGGGAAGGGGAGAGACAGAAGTACGGTGTGGTGTGCTTGAGATATGAGAAGGAAGGTGAGGAGGTGGCATTGCTGGCGGTGGTCAAGGTGCCAGTGGGCATTGGCGCCAACACCATCATCAGGTGCGCGGAGGGGAGCTTGAAGGGAGGGGCGGATGTATGGTATGGTGCGGTGTGCTCGACAGGTGGGAGGGCTGCTCCAGTGGGCAAGGTGTGGGTGGGTGGGCGCTGGTGCCAACACAAGATTCAGGTGTACCGTGGGTTCTTGTCACTAGATATGTGGAAGGTCGAGAGGATGTGTAGGGGGCTGTGGAAATGTGTGTTGTGCGCAGTGGGAGGGTATGGTGCACTTGAGAGAGGTGAAAGGCATGCTCCTTGCAGCACACAAGGCCACTGTGGGCTGTGGAGGGAGAGAGTGGTTGAGAGCACAGCAAGATGGGGTTTCAGCAGTGGAAGAGAAAGTCCGTAGTGGTAACTTTTGAGGCGCCTCAAAAGTTCAGCAGTGGAAGAGGCAGCCATAGTGGTTAGAACGACTGTGGCCTCTTGGTGCTGAAATGTTGGTGTGTGTGTTTCTGTGTCTCTGTGCGTGCCCTTGTACTGTGCAGCAATGCCATTGTGGACAAGAACGCACGCATCGGCCAGAGTGTGATCCTCGAGAACAAGGACGTGAGTCATGCTGCCATGCCTCCATGCCTTCCATTCCATCACATGCCACCATGCCTCCATGCCTTCCATTCCATCACATGCCACCATGCCTCCATGCTGCCATGCCTCCATGCTGCCATGCCTCCATGCCACCATGCCTCCATGCTGCCATGCCTCCATGCTGCCATGCCTCCATGCTGCCATGCCTCCATGCTGCCATGCCTCCATGCTGCCATGCCTCCACTCCCCTGCCATGTGCTCTTCTTTCGGCACTTCTATACATCGCTTGGACATGGAATGAAGTCTCGTCTTTCTAGTCTCCACACTCAGTTATTCTTCCAGCTGACTCTCACTCATCCTTTCCCCATCTGTGTCTCCTTCCTCCCTCCCTCCCTCCCTCCACCAGCATGTGGAGGAGTCAGACAGGTCATCGGATGGGTTCTACATTCGCTCCGGCATCACTGTTGTGCTCAAGAATGCCACCATTGCTGACGGCACCGTCATCTAAAGAAACCATTCCCGAGAGGAATGATTGTAGAATCCCTGCTGTGTCTGCTCTGGATGATTTGGGCTGTGTGTAGGTGTGGGTTTGTACGAATTGGTGTAGCATTGTGTGAGCACGTTAGTACACAATGCTCTTAGTACTGTCAGTAATCCCTTGTTTTCTTACGAGTTCAAACCAAGCATTGAATGCACAGCATATGTGTGGTAGCAGGTGTCTCCACGTATTCCGTATTTGTACATATAGACCAGCGTCACATCCATGGAAACAAAATACTGGAGATTCTAATATCAGGAATATAGCACCTCACCCACTGAAGATATCAACAGGGCCAGTGCAGCTAGGCCCACAGGCACCAGCACCACAGCTCCCAGCCCCCACTGCAAACCGCAGCGGCCTTCTATTCCACCACTTCTGCCGGCTCATCTCCACACTCGAAAACGAAAACTCCTCCTCCCCACTCTTTGCCGCCGCCGCTGCCGCCGCCCCGCCCACCGTATCCCTCGATATGCTCAGCGCGCCCCAGTGATTGGCCGGGTCGGGATCGGCCAATGGCAGGCGCCGGAACTTTCTGACGCGGTTGATTCCCGCCATATCATTAATAGCCTCGGAGAGGCACGTGCAGAGCAGCAGCACGAGGGGGACAGACTCGTCTGATGCGACCTCCATGGCTGCGCCTTTCCAGTTGAGAAGCGCTGTGGCGCGGCCGTGAGGGGCGTCTGGTGGGAAGCGGATGAGCGTTGCGAAGCCTAGGTCTTCCACTGAGGGCGCTCCTGGTACCTTGTACTTGTGGTGTCGACCTGGCAGCAGGAGCACCTGTTGGGATGGGGGATTAGTGGCGAGAAGGGGGGAGGAACAAAGAGAGGGAAACGGATGAGCATGGCAAAGCCTAGGTCTTTTGAGTCGACTCAAAAGTCACCAGGTCATCTACTGAGGGGGCTCCTGGGACCTTGTACTTGTGGTGACGACCTGGCAAGAGGAGGACCTGGTGGGATGGAGGGAGGGGAGTCGCAGTGGAAAGAGCTGGGTAAGACATTACCCTCCTCCGCTGCAGTCCAGTAAGCGCCTCGTGTGAAACAATCTCCTTTTCTAACAGCAACAACTTCAAGATTAGCACAACTACTCACCCGGCTGGTCCCTTCCTCCTCCAGCGTCAGCTGTATCCCCTGGATGAAGATCGTGGCATCGCGTCGCCGCTCGATGGTGACGGTGGCGGTGCGGCCGTTGGGCAGGCAGTCGAGCAAGCAGAACCGTTGGACGCCTGTGGCAGCGCCTGCGCCACCACTGGCCCCCGCACCACCCCAGGGATAACCTTGAGAGAGTCAGCTGGCATTCACATGATCACAACAACTCACCCGGCTGGTCCCCTCCTCCTCTAGAGTCAGCTGTATCCCTTGAATAAAGATCGTGGCATCGCGTCGCCGCTCAATGGTGATGGTGGCAGTGCGGCCGTTGGGAAGGCAGTCGAGCAAGCAGAACCGTTGGATGCGATCGTAATCATCCGACGCCTGTGGCACCGCCTGCGCCACCACCGGCCCCCGCACCACCCCCACCCGCAGGTGCGGCGGCTCTGGCTCGGGGAGGGGGACAGGGTCGGTCTCGATATATCGCCACCCGCCCTGTGAGGAGGGGAAAAGGAGGGGAGGAGTGGGGAGGAGGGGGGGGGAGTGGGGAGGTGATGCAGAGGGCAAGGTGAAACACCCATCTGGTGAGCAGAATGCAATGCTTTCCTCTTCCTCCAGTGTCAGCTGTATCTCCACTGTGGCACCGCCTGCACCACCACTGGTCCCCGCACCACCCCCACCCGCAGGTGCGGCGGCTCTGGCTCAGGCAAGGGGACAGGGTCGGTCTCGATATATCGCCACCCACCCTGTGAGAAGGGGATATGAGGGGAGGAGTTGGGAGGAGTGGGGAGGAGTGGGGAAGTGATCCACAGGGGCAAGGGGAGGATACAGGTACCAAACGTGAGGAGCAGGATGCAATACTTCCACTCGAGTGCAATACCCCCCAGTGAGCAGAACGACAGGAGGACGGCAGCAACGTGACTGACCTGGTGCAAGAGAATGACTTTTTCCTTTGGCTCCACAGGAATGGGCCGATAGCGCGCATGCCACGTGCCCTTGGCCACCCTGCCATGCACACAGCCATGCATGGGGCACACAGATACACACAAACACACACAGACCTGTGAAAGAGAGCAACAGACGAACGTGCTTCGTCACCTCCTAAAAACGTTTCCCAGACCCCGGGTGAGTGTCTGAGTGATAAATCGATCTCTGGGTCGACTCAAAACTTGGCTCCTCCTGGGTGAGTGTCCGAGTGCACTGAGCATATACGTCACAGAGACCACTTTATCCCTGTTGTCTAAACCCACCTCTTGCGGATGACAAACACCTCCTTATCCTCGTGATTGTACACTGTGCGTGATCCCCACCGACCATACTGGTGGGGAAGAAAGGGCGGGTTGGATGGGAGGGAGGTGAGCAAACCACGAAGACGGGAGTTGGACGACGAAAGAAAATACTGCGGTGAAAATTGGTGGTGGTGACATGAGGAAAACTGGAATAACCCCCACTCCTCACCATAGCCACCTGTTTTGCACCCACCTGCGGTCGGAAGTCGCGCTGCACGGCAATCTCTTCACAGATCATGGCACCATTGTCATCTGTGCCTCGCATGAACACCGTTCTCAGCAGGTAGGGCGCTGGTGTGGGGGGCGTGAGGGACACCGCCACGTGCACCCGCGGCAACTCACTCGCCTTCCCCCCTCCCCCACTCACCACCAGCGACCCCCCTCCCGCCCCGCTCCCCACCCCTCCCACCCCACTCCCCCCGGCCGACCCATCCGCTCCCCCCGATGCTCCTGCTGCCTTATTCCCCCCTGCCCCTTCGTCCCCCTCCCCTCTGATCCCCACAGCAGTGAGCAGATCTACAGGGGCTAGCGCCACCTGTCTATCCACCAGTAGAGCCGGGCGAGATAACACCTCCTCCCAGGTTATACCTCCACTCCCCACCAATCTCGGCCCCCACAACCCGCCCCAGAAAGTCCCTGATTCGGCTCGTAGCTCGAACTGCAAGCCAGCTGTCGCCACCTCAGCTTCCAACGCCCACCGCTGTCGCCAGGCTGGCGGGCGACAGCCCGGGCGGGCAGGCAGAGAGCGCGTGCGCAGCGAGAAATCGTGAGCGGCTCGTTTCGTCCGGATCATGAGAAAGAGATTCTCGGGCTTGTCAGGATGGAAATTGAGCAAACCCCAGACCATGAAATCGACCTCGACAGTCATCCGCGGTTCCAACCCCCTCCCGGCATTCAACTCTGCAACTGTAAACTCCACCGCCCCTCCTTCCAGAGGCAGAACCCGTCTCGGCGCCACGAGCGGTGGCGGCGGGATAGGCACGGGTGCCGGGCCTCGGAACATAGCTCCGGCGCGGTCGAACGGGGAGCCGTAGGTTCGGTCCCAGAGCTGCGCGGTGGCTCGGTAGGCCCACTCGAGGCGCTTGCGTGTGTTGCTGTCGATTGTGTTGGAGGAGGACGCGGCTGCTACAGTGGCTGCTACGATTGGCATGGCGTCTGAATCATCGTGGCCCAACAGACGGCTTAACAGCCAGTCGCTGTCTTTGGTGTACGCTGCTGCACACATCTGATTGTGAGTGGGGAGGAAAGTGGGGTTGGAAGAGGACGACAATGAACGACAAATCGACCACATGCACATGTATGGCACATGGCACATGCATGGCACATGTATGGCACATGGCACATGCATGGCACATGTACACCACACTCTACCATAAGTGCATGCATCACTCTGCTCCCATGTGTGCATGCATACCATCCCATGTGGGCATGCCAGAGCAGGTCGATGTCATAGGTTAGAGTTGAGCATAAGGCCCGACCCGACCCGACCCGACCCGATTTGGCCGGGCCTTACGGGCCCTCGGGTCGGGTCGGGTCGGGCCGACCCCGGGCCAGAGTCCTGAAACTGGTGGCCCGACCCGGGCTTACAGACTCGGGCCACGGGGGACCCGAGTTCGGGTCGGGCCGGGTCGGGCCAGGAAGGCCCGCCCCTTTAGTGGCAGGGTGGGGGGGTTCCCCATGACTTGTACATTTATTCTGTTTTCCAGGTTGCTGGAACTAACCAGGAATGTTGCTGCGTTATCCGCTAGAAACTGCTAGTACAGCGCGTGTGTCACGGAGCGCAGGCGGGGAGGAATAAACGTAGAGGTGGCGGTTGTATTATGGTGGTCCCAAAACTACTCTAGTGAAGAGCGCGAAATGGCCTATTTCTAGCCAGAAACGTTCGTCGAGAGGATAACTTAAAATAGTAGGACGCGCGTGGGAATACCTAAGTTGCGTGGTAGGTTAAGGACTGGTAAGTACTACTCTAAGTCTGCTTGCTGCTGGCTTGGCGGAAAGTAAATCGACGGGGATGAAATCCCCGCGATTTACATTGTGTTAGGGTTTCGACCCCACACATTGTCGAAATCGGGTCGCGCATCTGGCCCGACCCGATTTCGACAATTTTGGCCCGAAATCGGGTCGGGCCACACCCGACCCGAGGCCCGGCTCGGCCCGGCTCGAATTGCGCTGTCGGGTCGGGCCTCACGCCGAGTCGGGTCGGGTCGGCCCGACCGGGGCAGGGTTTTGGAAACCCTGGCCCGACCCGTGAAAAACCACGGGTCGGGGCGGGTCGGCCCGACCCGTCCGGGCCACATGCTCAACTCTATCATAGGTGGGGGTGAGGAACGCCCCGCGGTTTAGTGTGCATGCATGCACCACTCCACCACCACGAATGGATGCACACCATACCATGTGTGCGTGCCATGACATGCAACCATAACAACTATACTATGTGGGCATGCCAGGGCGTGAGGAACGCCCCGCGGTTGAGCATGCATGCATAATGACAATGCCATATGTGTGTGCACACTACAACCTTACCATGTGAGCATGCCAGAGCAGGTCGATGTCATAGGTGGGCGTGAGGAACGCCACTTGGTGAGTTGATCATGCATGCATCACACCACCACCACCACCACCACCATCACTGCATGCATGCATGCCCACCACCACAGCCATACCATGTGCGCGTGCCACAGCAGATCGACGTCATAGGTGGGGGTGAGGAACGCCCCTCGGTTAAGTATGCATTCATCACACCACCACCACCACCATGCATGCATGCCTGCATTCATCATAACATTACCATGTGCGCGTGCCAGAGCAGGTCCATGTCATAGGTGGGCGTGAGGAAGGCCCCTCGGTTTAGCATGACGAGGTTGAGGAACATGCGGTACCGCTGCAGCGATCCCTGTAAATATTGGCGCTCTAGCATCCACGGCCGATCCACCTGAAGGGATGGGGGTGGGAGAGGAGGAGGGGGGCGATATGGGCAGGGGCAGCAGAGAGGGTGGGCGGGGATACGAGCAGGCCACTGATTACCATTGCAGCGACCCCTGCAGGTACTGCTGCTGTAGCATCCACGGCCGGTCCACCTGGTGGGATGGGATGGGGGTGGGGGAGGGGGCAATAGGGAGTGTGGGTGTGGCACAAGGGGCGAGAAAGGGAGAGGGGGAAGAGAAAGGTGGGGAGAGGAAGGGGGGGAACAGGAACGTGGAGGGGGGCGGGAAGAGGAGGGAGAAGAGGGACGGGGACAGTTGGGAGAGGGAGGAGAGGGTAGAGCGGGGAAGTGGCCTGGACACCTTCATGCCCTTCCACCTTCATGCCACCTTCTACCAGGTGGCCTGGACTCCTTTACGCCCACCTGGTAGAAGAAACTGCTCTGGCGTGCTACAGCCGCCTCCAGGTCATAAGTTAGCTCCGAAGGGAGCGAGGGGGGCAGTGCTGGTGGCACCACTGCTGCTGCTGCTGCATCTGGCGCTGCCGCTGCTCCATTCCCCTGCCTCTCCGCCCCATCACCCCCACCAGCAGCATCACCACCACCTGTCACTGCTGCACCGTCTCCTTCCGCTGCTCCACTCCCCTCGCCCCTCTCCTCCCCAGCACCAGCAGCGCATGCATCACCACCACCCACAGCATCCCCAGCTTCCCCAGCAGCATCACCCGCAGCAGCAGGGGCGGCAGCAGCAGGAGCAGCGAGGGCGGGGGGGTCGTAGGGCTCTAGGGGGAAGAGCTCCTCCCAGAGCGCCCTGCATGCGGCAGTGGCTGCTGCCTCGCCCCGTGCGCTCTCACTGCCCACATCGTCGTCATCCGGGTCGAATATGGCTCCGTCTAACAGCCGACCCAGGATGGTGCTGCAGTCCTCTGCATAGGCTTCCTGAGGTGGGGAGTGCGGGTAAGGTGAGGGTGAGAGATGGGTAGACAGGCTTGAGGAGGTGCCTCTGCCTCGCCGCGTGCGCTCCCACTGCCCACATCGTCGTCATCCGGATCAAAGATGGCCCCGTCTAACAGCCGCCCAAGGATGGTGCTGCAATCCTCTGCATACGCTTCCTGAGGTGGAGAGTGGGGAAAGGGAAAGGGGGAAGCGGCTGGGCGGACGGAAGGCATTTTAGCCGGTGGCACGTCAAATGGGGGAGGGGGGAGCAAGGGGAACGGCGGAGTAAAGGAGCAAAAAGGAAATGGGCAACGGGAATGAGCAAGGCGCACGTACGGGGTTAAGGCGGTGCACGAGCCACACCCACTGCACGTCCAGCGGCGGCTGTAGCGTGCGCATGACGTCGTCTGTCTGCCCGTACGCCATGCGCAGCCAACACTGCTCGTACCTGGGACGGAGACAGGGTGAGGAGGGAGGAGGAGATGAGCGGGAGCAGTGGCGAATAACGCGTGCATGAGAAGAGGGAGATGCGGCGGGAAAGCGATGCGGAAGATGGGGAGAGGCGGCATGTGTGACAATCGATTGTTGGCAGACAGACGGTGCCGACTGTGGGTCACAGCTGAACTGCGATTCGCTCAAACGCGGAGGCCGAATCGTGCAAACATGAAAGAGGCCGCATCGCGCAAACACCTCGCGATCCTAACGGTTGCACTCCTCGCATTCCTGCGTGTCGAACACTCCCTTCCCTTCACACTTCAACACCGTAACCCACATCGTTCTCGACGCCGCATCCTACGCGGGATCCGAGGCGCACCTCCTAATGGCGTCCTTAACGGCCGGCCCGGCGTACAGCCGGCCGTTCTGGTCGACGCGGCGCAGCAGCGTCATGAGCTGCTTCGCGGCCGCCGGCAGATCCGCGCTGACGCGGACCGCCTCCACCGCCTTCCACGCCTTCGCCATCTCCAGCTCGTCCTCCTCCTCCTCCGCCAACAGCGGCGTCTCCATCGCCGCGTCAAGCGCGGCGGCGGTCACGGCGAGGTCCTTGTTGCCCTTCTCGCCCTTGCTCTCCCTGCCGGGCTTGGCGCCGGCGCGACTCGCCATTTTCGGGGAGGAATTATCCAGTCACGGACAGCGATGTGGCCGCGAGGTTCGATTTCAGCGCAGTGGAATAAATACACGGACGTGAGATTATAAGGAGGATATGGTGATAGGTTACATGGTGGGGAAGACGGAGATTCACTTGTGCAGTTGTCACGCGGATTGGAGAGGCACGCCAGGTTAGCGGCAGAGGGAAGCGCAGGAGGGGCGAATATCTCTCGCCGAATCCATCACTGTGCTTCTCCGTTTTAAGTGCTCCGATATCAAGAACGAAATGTCACTCACCTCCTCTCACGTTCTGTATAGGCAGGTCAGCTTGAAACGCGACCTATTTGTATCATGCGTTTCCGCAACTGTATATCCATCCATACGAACAGCTTGTATCGGATCACCAAACCATTCTGGCCAGCCACGCTACCAAATCTCAGCCGTTCGTTGCTCTATCCTTATTTCTGCACTTCCACGTCAGCACTACCTCATCAAAAGCCGCACATCACCATTGAACAATTCCCAATTCACTAAACCATCTCTCAGTTCCCAAGGCTCAACAGAGACACTACAAACTCACCTCACACCACCGTAGCCACTGCTGTTCCTTTCCCTTCCCCCCTCACCACCACCTCACCTCCGCCATACCTCAATCCATTCCCTTCTTTCTGGGTTTCTCTCTAACGATTCCTAGAACCTGCCACTTCCCTTAGTCGCTGCGGCCATGGCGACCGCGTCTCTCTCCGCGCAGAGCGCCTCGAGGTTGTCGTTTTCCAGCAGCGCGTTGACCGGCTGCTGCTCACAGCTCAAGGCGGTTAGCCTTGCCGCTGCCAAGCCACAGTTCAGCGAGAATGGCCGGCTCGCCGTGAGATGCGCCGGAAAGGGCGGGTTCATTCCCGCGGAGCACCGGTGGATGTACGAGGGCATTGAGAACAAGGGACCGGTACGGCTATATGATCGCGATAGCGTATTAGAGAAGCAGAAAAATGTTTATATAGGGCAGGTCGCTAGCCCAAAACAAAGACGTTACTCAGAATGTCTTAGTAGCTCTAGCAGCGCGTAGCTAACCCAATGTAGTGGATCAGCTTATTCGATCGAAATGTCGGTTCATGTATCTAAGGCGATTCACCACGTTGCTGCGGTCGTTTAGTGATTGTCGTGGTAGCGCCGACAAGCATAAGTATCTTGAAACGTTGCTAGTCGCTGCGCCGAACCTTGTGAGTGCGACGCTGACAGCCGTAGGTTGCTCGCGTCGAAAGCTGCCGGCAGTTAGGTTCGCCCGCGAAGCAGGGTTTTGGCGTTGACAACAGGTTCTAGTGGTCAGCCTCCTCGCGGCCATGACATTGGCTACTCAATCCCGTTCTCGCAGCACTCAGACAAGGCGCATGCCTGCTCCTTCCACGACTGACTTTCTCTCCCACCTCTCCAGCCTCTCTTACTTCTCCGCCCTTCTGCTCGTTTCCGGTCTCTCTCAAGGCGTCGACTCCCCCATCTATCCCTCTTCCGAACCTTTCTGCGCGCATACTTTCCCCTTGCCCCCAATCGTGCAGGCGGAGCACCTTACAGTGAGATACAGTGGTTTGCTTTCTCTCATTCTCCCCTTCCCCTTATCCCTAACCGCCAATGCTCACTCTTGACCTTCAAATGCAGGACGAATGGAACCGCACGACTCTATCCAGAGGAGACCAAACACCTGAACGTGGAGCAGTGGTACATTCCCTCTCACCCCCCACCCCTGGACACCACCCCCTTTCTCCGCATTTGCAGGACGAGTGGAACCGCACGTACTACCCGAAGGAGGCGGACCATCTGAACGTGGAGAAGCAGTGGTACATCGTGGATGCGGCGGACAAGCGCCTGGGCCGCCTCGCCTCCACCATCGCCAACCACATTCGCGGCAAGGACCAGCCCACGTACACGCCCTCCGTCGACATGGGCGCGTACGTCATCGTGGTGAGTGCGAGGGAGCGACGGTTGTGCTGTGTGGTAGAATTTGCGTTCTCTATTCGGCGAGACGGTGACGTTTCCAGGGAAGAAGCACATGTAGATGGTGTACACGCTGCACTCCAAAGCTCAACGTCTCCCGCTCCACCCCGCTTCACCCGCTTCCCCCGCTCCACCCCCTTCCCCCTCCCCTCTCATCTTCCCCACGCCTCCCCTGCCGGCAGGTGAACGCGGAGAAGGTGGCGGTGACGGGCAAGAAGCGCGCGCAGAAGATTTACCGGCGGCACTCGGGGCGGCCGGGCGGGATGACGGAGGAGACGTTCGACCAGGTGCAGGCGCGCATCCCCGAGCGCATCGTGGAGCACGCCGTGCGGGGCATGCTGCCCAAGGGCCGGGTGAGTGCGCTGTGGGCTTGGGGACTTGGGGACTTGTTGGCTTGTGGGAGGGACTGGCGCTGGGCTTTGGGCTCGGGTATGGGGTCGGGCTTTGGACACTATGATCGGTTATAGAGGCACGTCCTTGACGGGATTGTGGAGCATGCCGTGCGGGGCACTGCCCAAGGGTCGGGTGCGCTGCTTGTCTGGGACTGGGGCCTGGGCGTGGGTTTGGTGCTGGGCTTGGTGGTTTGGCTGGATGGCATTGTGAGAGAGGCAGAAAGCCGGATTAGTGGAGAAATCAGTGGAGGACGACGCGGGGGGCATGCAGCCCAAGAAGGTGGGTAGCTAGGTACGGGTTTGAGGGCAGTGGGGCCAGCGAGGTGGGGCATGATGAAACGCAGCTTGAGCTCCGATTATGAAAGACTCCTGAGCGTTTATGTGGGACATGCTGTGTATGCATGCTGGGGGGTGTGGAACATGTTGTGTGGGGCATGCTGTTGGGCATGCTTTTCACGGGAAGTGAATATTTATGCTTTGGCAAGAGGTGGGCACTGGGAATGATTTGTAAGGGAGCATAGGATGAGTGATTGGTACTTTGTGAAATTGCAGGGACCTGGTTTCTAATGTGTTTGCTGTAACCTTCACCTCTGTCCTTGCTGCTGAGTATGGAAAATCCGCTTGTTTTGGCTTTGTGCCCCTTCTTTCCACACCAGTTGGGTCGCCGCCTATTCACACACCTCAAGGTGTACAAGGGAGAGTCGCACCCACACGAGGCCCAGATGCCGCAGCCTTTGCCGATTCATGACAAGCGTATTTCCCTTGCTTGAAAAAACGTTTTATTAGCCTATTGCTGTAGTTGCTTGACTGCTGTTATAAAAATTAACGTGTCCAATGCTGAAAATAGTAAGATTGAGCCTGTGTTTTGCAAGCTACCGTGGTCTGCTAAATTTCTGCAGCCAGCCTCACCACCACGATAGTAGTTCAGTTAACCAATACCGAGTATGCGACGAAACTTCGAAGCGCTGTGCGTCGTCGTACGACAGTGACTGCAACCACCCAGTGGTGCACCAATGACAAATCAGAAAAACCCACACCCCGCCAAAATCACACAGGCGCGATTCTTCGATCCACGCGCTTCGATCATCGAGAAACGCCGCGACGCGACACAGCGAAATGGGGGTGCCCCCCCAGCCAGCTTCTCCCCCCGACCCCCACCTTCCTAGAGTGGCAAATTTATGCCGTCTGCCTGCGATTGCGAATGCCGTACGATATGGTGAGGTGGTGATTCCCCCCCCTCGACGAGATTGTGTTGCTCGACTATTGGTAGTTATCAAACCGCCTGCCTCACATAAGCCACGTCACGACGACTCACGATCTTCCGCGACCGCGAGGACTAACCATCGACCGATAAGCGCATCTTGCCGCGCTGTACGACCATGTCAGGCGCTCACGGACAAGTTCCGCAGCTGGCTGGTATTCGGTGCTGCCGGCTCGCGTGTGGTCTGGCCCTAGTCAGTTCGTCCCCTCGTGCACCTCCTGATCCATTCGCAGTAGTGCTATGGTCATCTATCCGCGTCTATACGACAGGGGCTGGAGGACCACACGGCTTCAGAGCCTCCAGTAAACAGCTGGCTGAGTGATTCACCCTTTGCATCAACTAAGTTAGTAACGGCAAGGCATAGAGACTCGCCATTTTATTCATACCCGAGCCGTTACTAACTCACACTCGTTCCGCTACTGTGTAGCACTCGGAGTCCCTCTGCCGAATTCATAAATCCCAGGCCTGCGATCGAAGGATGATGACGTGTCCACCATTTAAGCTCTCGCGGCACGGGTGGGCCGTACTCGCGACCGCGACGCTCGGCGCGCTGCTAACGCTGCTAGTGTGTGGGGTACGTGCCGAATCGTCACTCAAATCAATGGATAGATCCAGGAACAAGCCATTCATAGGATACAGCATGATTGCGACCGATTTCTCTATACGATCCGCTAGCCCGCGGGTGCCCCGCTAGCGCGATTTGTTTTTCCGGGACTGTGGCGCATAGCCAGGCAGGCGATTCGTTGCTCCACTGTGACGAGAGGCGCTCACGCGCACATCAGCGCCCCCATCGAGCGCGCGCCTCCACGCAGTGGGGACGAGGGAGGAGACCACGCTTGAGAGGCCGCCAGAAATGTTTGCGCTTTCCTCTTCCTCTCTAGGCTATAGTGCAGCCACGCCAGTTCGGCGCATCGACGCTGTCTGAGAATCCAGAATGACGCGTAATCGGATTACCACTGGCAGTGGACTCAAAAACAACGCCTTCCCCTATGTTTCCCCTCCGTCTCATGTCAATCAGGCCATGGTCCAGGACGCATTGACGCCTTTCTTCTCCCCGCTCCTCCTCTCCCGCTCCACCCCGCTCCTCCGGTTCCGCCGCTCCTCCGTCCTCTCCTCCTCCACCTCTCCCTCCTCCGCCGCTGCGCGCCAAGCCGCTTCAAACGGCACCGCCGGCACCGGAAATGCGCCATGCCCCGCACTTGACGGCGTAGCTGTAGCGCGCAATGCGGAAAGCGGGAGCGGCGGAGATGGCGGGGAGACGAGTGGCGGAGAAGGCCGTTGGAAGAGCGGCGAGGAGGAACAGTGGAACGAAGCGCGTGACGTGCAGAATCTGGCTCAATTATCGGTGAGTGATGGCGCGATTTCGCAACTGTCGGCGTGACGGATAATGCATTTTGGCGGATAATGCAGTTTGACAAATAGTGCAGTTTGGCGGGTGGCGAGCGTTGCGGTATGCGGTGTGACCGGATGGGGGTGACAGTGCTTGCGGACTACCGATGGAGCGACCGGCCCCTAAAATCCCTTCACTCCCACGCTTCGTGCGTGCGTGCCTCTGGCTGTACCTGACTGTGCGTGCGTCTGTTTGCGTATGTCTGTGTGCGTATGTGTGCGTGCCCTGCGGCCAGCAGCGCTACACGGAGGCACTGGAAGAGAGGCGCGGGCGGAACCAGTCGGACGAGGCGGTGACGAGGGCGCTTGAGGCGGAAGCGCGGCAGTGGCGTCAACGAACCTACCAGCACAGAGGATTCCTCTACGAGTTCAGGTGCTGCCGCCACTCCTCCTCGAGTTTGGCACATAACCAGACTCACCTGCCTAGGTCTTAATCTTACCCTCCCCCCTCACTCATTCCCTCTCCCCTACCCGACTCATTCTTCTCCTCCATCCCCCACTATTACTCCTCTCTCATCTCATTTCTTCATCCCCACAGCGCCTACCGCGTCAGCCCCTCTCGCTTCGTCGTACTCGCTATAAGCGGCCTCAATTTCACGTGGGTGGCGGACGGGGAGGGCTGCCGATGGGTGGGGCGAGACGGCAGCAGAGTGAACGGTTCAGTGTGGTACAGAGACTTTATGGGCCCCAAGACTCAGGTGCTTCATCTCACACCACTCTCGCTCCTTTCCCCTCAACCTCGTTTCAAACTGACTCGCCTAGCCACGAATTTTCTATCCAGCCCTTTCCCTCCCTCTGTTCACCTCCACACCTCCGTCCCCCCTGCAGAGCAACTCAATACCCAGAAAAATTCACCCTCAGACTCTCTCTCTACTTTTCGCTACACCATGTTCCGCTACACCCCCTTCCGCTAATTCCCGTTACAGACTGACTCGCTAGCAGCGTTCTGCCAGCTGTGGGGCAACACGTCCCAGGCGGGCGGCTATCTGGTGATGACCATGGATGGCGTCGAGGCTGTTGTCTATAATGAACGCCCGGGGCAGGTGGGATGCGGGGGAGGTGGAAGGTGGGGGAGGTGAGATGCGGGGGAGGAAGGTATAATGCTGCATGCACGCCCACGTCTCCCGATTCCTCTCCCCATCCCCATCCCTCTCCCCCTCCCCCTCCCCCCCCATCTCCCCAACCGCAGCCTCTGGAACCACCACCGGACGACTCCGTCCCAGTCCACCTCACGTGGTGCTCACAACCGCTCTACGGCACAATAGACGCGGGGGTCGTCTGGGCCTGGGCGGAGTACCACCGCGTGCATGCCAACGTCTCGCGCTTCCTCTTCTACGACATGGCGGCGTGGACTCCCGCTCTCACAGCGCTCTTCACGCCGTACTTTGCTGCGGGCATTGCTGCTGTGACGGACATGTCGGCCGGGCTGCGGTTTGGGTTTCGAGCGGGAGTGGATTTGAAGTTCTTTACTACCAAGCACCAGGTGAGCTTTACTACCAAGCACCAGGTGAGCTTTACTACCAAGCACCAGGTGAGCTTTACTACCAAGCACCAGGTGAGCTTTACTACCAAGCACCAGGTGAGCTTTACTACCAAGCACCAGGTGAGCTTTACTACCAAGCACCAGGTGAGCTTTACTACCAAGCACCAGGTGAGCTTTACTACCAAGCACCAGGTGAGCTTTACTACCAAGCACCAGGTGAGCTTTACTACCAAGCACCAGGTGAGCTTTACTACCAAGCACCAGGTGAGCTTCACACCAAGAACCGCATTCAACACCTTGTCTTCACTCCCCCACCCCCTTTCACCAGACACTCGCAAGCAACGACTGCATGTACCGATCGCTCTTCACCTTGCGCTGGGCGACTCTCCACGACACAGACGAGTTCCTCTCGCAAGTGCTGAGACATGCGCCTAAATCCACACACGCTCCCTTATACACCCCCTCCCACCCACCAGACGCTAGCCAGCAACGACTGCACATACCGCTCGCTCTTCACTGACACAGGCGAGTTCCTCTCACCCGTGCCCACACAAGCACGGGGCGGATCTGGTACCGCATTCAACCCCTCTCCACCCCCACCTCTCGCTCCCCACCCTCACCAGACGCTAGCCAGCAACGACTGCATATACCGCTCGCTCTTCACCTCGCGCTGGGTCACCCTGCACAACACAGACGAGTTCCTCTCGCGAGTGCTGAGACATGTGCACGCCTATTCTAGCACCTAATTCCACACACACCTCTTCTTCCCTTATATACCCCCTCCCTCCCACCAGACGCTAGCCAGCAACGACTGCATATACCGGTCGCTCTTCACCTCACGCTGGGTGACCCTGCACGACACAGACGAGTTTCTCGTGCCCGTGCCGCCGCACTCCCTCTCTTCGCTGCTCGCCGCGCACGCCCACGCCCCCTGGCTCTCCCACGGCGCTTTCGCCGTCGATCCCTCCATCTGCCAAGGGGAAAGGGAGGGGGAGGACGCACCGGCACCTGCTGCAGCTGCGGAGGGTGCTGAGACGCAGTGGGATGAAGCTGCAGTGGCGGAGGCGAAGAGACGTGCCGTGCAGCTGCTATCGCGAACGGTGTTTCGGCAGCCAGAGGTGTGGTGCGTGCGCGAGGGGCAGCAGATCGATGGGGACCTGTGCGAGGACTGGCGCGGCCACCGGAAACTCGTTGTCAACCCTCGCAAGGTGAGATGGCCTCTCAGGCTGCTCTCTCACTCTTTCCCTCTCAGGCGCTTCTCTTGAGATGTCGGTTCTCAGGGGAGTGGGGCAGCAGAGCGATGGGGACCAGGGCCTAAGTTATCAGGGCAATTACCCTGTTTTGACTGAAATTATAGGGTGTTTTTTCAAGGAGCCCTGATTTTCACAAGGTTTTTTCCGGACCAGCCCGTAAAACTGAAGGGTGATTATTGAGTCAGCTCGGATCTCTCCGGGGAGTTCTCAAGGGGACCCGTATAATTTTAGCAGACATGTTCTCCCCGACCTGCCTTGCATTCCTCTCCGTCTCCCTCTAAACACACGTGGGCCACTTTTAGTGAATTTCCTAACCACTCTCTCCTTGTTGGCCTCCAAGTGTCTGATTGCCCTGTTCTACGTCGACATGGCTTAGAAGGCCAATAAGGAGAGAGTGTCTGATTGCCCTGTTCTCCCTATGTACTCTTCCTCATCGTATTTTTTTCGAAGTCTACAATAAGTATCTCGCTCACCCCTCCAGAGCCACTCCATCTCCAATCTCCCCAGCCCTCGTGCAACCCACTGTGAGTTTCCCGCGAAATTCTGGTAATGCATGTTTTCAGGCCTTTTCTGGCTCGAACCCGGATTCGTCAAGGTTTTTTTTCCGCTGGCTCGGATTTTACAGGGTCTTTTTCACAGGGGCCCGGATCGTCCGAGCTAGCAAAAATCCTAGCAATAGCCCTGATGGGGACCTGTGTGAGGACTGGCGGGGCCACCGGAAACTCGTTGTCAACCCGCGTAAGGTGAGACGCGCCCTCACCCTCCTAGCAGCTTCACTCTCACCCTCAGTCAGGCGCATCCTTTAAGGTGCTGCGTGGTTCCGCGTGGTGCTGAGTGGTGCGAGTTAACTCTTTGTCTGTGAACTCCTCAACCCGTTTTCCCAACCTCCACATCCCCTTTTTCAAACCAGGGTGAAGCATACAAGGGCGGAGTAGTGCTGAACACATCTCCACCAGTCACTCCTTTCCTTGTGGACTCACTTCCTTCTCACCTGCGTGTCAACCCCTCTCTCCCCCCTACAGACCGAGGTGATGTCTATCCACATCGCACGGGAGCCGCAGACGGGCGGAGTGGTGCTGAACGCAGCAACAGAGCTACGGCACTTCCATTTGTCTGGAGTGGTCAACCCAGTCAACGCTCACTGCCAAACGATCGTGCCGCCCGGCGAGTCCCACGTGTGGTTTGTGCGGGACACTGCTGTTGCTGACAAGCTGCAGCTTCTAGTCAACTCTTCTGCCCCTCAACCTGAACCCTGAGAAGCAGAAGGAGCATCACCACTCTTCATAAGTTTCTACTCTCCTGTAATTTGTGCGGGACACCACAGTTGCTGACAAGCTACGACTAGCGAATGTCTCAGCCCCTCTCCCTGTACCCTAAGGAACGTTACACCACTCTATGGATACTTGACTCTTAATGAGGGGCACTACAGTGGCAGACAAGCTACAGCTACTACTGGTCTACCTACTCCCCGTCAGCCTCAACTATGACTTACTAGCTAACGGCTTGTCTCGACAGCCTGAAGCTTAAGATAATTTAATTGTCAGTGGATGTAATTCGAAGTGTTACTTGTTTTTTTACAGTCTAAAGCCTTGAGCGAGTGTTTTGCAAGCTACAGTAGACTGCTATCCTCACTACCACGTAAGTAGTTCCGTATCCAATACCGAGTATGCGACAAACCCCCAAAGGACTGTAACGTGTGTCTCATCGTGCGCGAATGACAGCAACCACCATTGGTGTGGCCAGCCACCACCCCGCCAAATCACTCGCGCAATTCTTCGATTCACGCGCTTCGATCACCAGGAAACACCGGCGACGCGGCATCCACGAAATGGTCACTCCAATCCACCCACTCCACAATGCCCCCTCTTTGCCAGCCAGCTGCCCCCTTCCCCCCCCCCACCTTCCTGAAGTGGCAAATTTTATGCTGTCTGTTCGCGATTACGAATGCCTGCCGAGCGATGAGGTGAGGTGGGGTGGCCCCCTCCCACATAATTATGTTGTGCTCGTCTTCGATCGACCATTGGTGGTTATCAAACCACCTGCCTCGCATAAGCCACGTCGCGACGACTCACGATCTTCCGCGAGGACTATTCCGATGAGCGCATCTCGCAGCGATGTACGATCATGTCAAGACGATTATGTCAAGCACGCACGGCATGCGATCATGTCACGCACGCAGCTGGCCGTGCGATCATGTCAAGCACGCACGGCCAAGTTCCGCTGCTGGCTGGTATTCTAGGTTGCCGGCCCATGTGTGGTCGGACCCCAGTCATTTCGCCCCCTCGTGCACCTGCTGGTCCATTCACGGTTGTGCAGTTGTCATCTATCGTACAGGGAGGTTGGAACGTAGAACACGCGGCTTTAGATCCGAAGGACGGAATAAGCGGCCGACGGAGTTTTTCACTCTTTGCATCAACAACTAATTAGTAACAGCAAGGCATAGGGACTCGATAATTTGTTCATACCCGAGCCGCTACTAACTCACACTCGAGCCGCTACTAACTGGTGTGCACTAGCACTCGCAGTCCCTCTACCGAATACATAAAGCCCAGACTTGGGATCGAAAGATGATGACGTGTCCACCATTTAAGGGCTCTCAGCACGGGTGGGGCGTACATGTGACTGCGACGCTCGGCGCGCTGCTAACGCTGCTAGTGTGCGGGGTACGTGCCGAAGCGTCACTCAGAGCAATGGATCGATCCAGGAACAAGCCACTAATAGGCCTCAGGGCAATGTGAAATAATGATTGCAATTGAGTTCTGAGACGGCGCCGCCACATAGCCAGGCGATGCGCGCTGCCGATCGATTGCGATGAGACACACTCAAGCGCAAGCCAGCGCCTCCCATGGAGCGAGCCCGGCGCTCAGGGCCTGAGTGCGTCCACTCAGTGGGTGCCAGGCAGGAGACCACATTTGGAGCCGGAATGGCTGCACATTTGGCGTCTCCTGCCTTTACCCGCACGGCAGGAGGCCACATTTGGAGCTCCACTCGCTCGACGGGCGCCTTTGGATCTTTTTGCACTTTCCTCCACCACTCTAGGCTCGAATGCAGCCACTCCGACTCGGTATAAGCGGCGTCAAGTTCACGTCGTAATCTTTGAGACGATGTTTGGGACGACGGAATAATCATCTCTCGAACTTGGTATAGTCGCCTCGAGGCTGCATTGGAACTCAGATGATTTCTAGTCGGCTCATAAAACCACGCTTTCCCCTCTTCTTCCCACCCGTCTCTGGTGAATCAGGCCCTAGTCCAAGACACACTGACGCCTTTCATCTCCCCGCTCCTCCTCTCCCGCTCCTCCCCGTTCCGCCGGTTCCGCTCCTCCGTCCTCTCCTCCACCTCTTTCTCCTCCGCCGCTGCGCGCCAAGCCGCTTCGAACAGCACCGTCGGCGCCGGAAATGCGCCTTGCCCCGCACTTGACGCCGTGCCAGTAGCGCATGATGCGGGAAGCAGGAGCGGCGGAGTTAGCGGGGCGACGAGTGGCGGAGAAGGCGCAGGGGCGATCGGCGGAGAAGGCGGAGGGAAGAGCGGCGAGGAGGAAGAGCGGAATGAAGCGCCGGGTGACGTGCGGACTCCGGCGCAATTATCGGTGAGTGATGACGCGCTGTGGATCATGCGGTTTGGCGGATAATGCGGTGTAGCAGGTAATGCGGTGTAGCGGGAATGCGGTGTCGCGGATAATGCGGTGTGGCGGGTAATGCGATATGGCGGAAAGGGGTACGTGGTGTGGCGGGTGGTGTGCGAATGTGCGGTGTGACGGGACGGAGGTGACAGTGGTTGCGGATAATCTCTGGAATGGCGTGCCCCTTTCCTCCATAGTTTCAGCGATTGTTGAAACATCCGGAAACAAACAAACAGAACGCACTCCCTCGCTTTTTTTCCTCCCCCCTCTGTGTGCGTGTGCGTGCTTCTGCCTGTGCGTGCGTGTGTGCGTGTGTTGTGTGTGTGTGTGTGTGTGTGTGTGTGTGTGTGTGTGTGTGTGTGTGTGTGTGCGCGTGTGTGTGTGTGTGTGTGTGTGCGTGCGTGTGTGTGTGTGTGTGTGTGTGTGTGTGTGTGTGCGCGCGCGCGTGTGCGTGTGTGTGTGTGTGTGTGTGTGCGTGCACGACTGCGTGCGTGCGCGTGTGTCCGGCAGCGCTACACGGAGGCCATGGAAACACTGCGCACGCGGAACGAGTTAGACGAGGCGGTGACGAGGGCGCTTGAGGCGGAGGCGCGGCAGTGGAGGCAACGAACGTACCAGCAGAGAGGATTCCTCTACGAGTTCAGGTGCTGCTGCCGTTCCTCTACGAGTTCAGGTGCTGCTGCCGTTCCTCTACGAGTTCAGGTGCTACTGCCATTCCTCTACAAGTTCAGGTGCTGCTGCCGTTCCTCTACGAGTTCAGGTGCTGCTGCCATACCAGGGGCCCTAGTCAAAAACGTATACTTGTTGTTGCACACGGCCAAGCTCTCTTACCCTGTCTTCCTCCTACCTGCCTACCTTCCCCGCTCAGCTCACACACTCACTCATCTCTCCTCCACCCGGCCCATTGCTCTCCTCCATCCCCCCCAATCAATCCTCTCCCATTTCTCCATCCCCAGCGCCTACCGCATCAGCCCCTCTCGCTTCGTCGTACTCGCTATAAGCGGCCTCAATTTCACGTGGGCGCTGGAAGGGGAGGGCTGCCGATGGGTGGGGCGAGACGGCAGCAGAGTGAACGGTTCAGTGTGGTACAGAGACTTCATGCTCCCCAAAACTCAGGTGCGTCAACTCACACCACTCTCGCACCCTTCCCCTCGTCCTTTCAAACTGACTCGCCCGGTCACAAATTCTCCTGTACGCGCCCTTCCGCTCATCCCCGTTACAGACTGACTCGCTAGCAGCGTTCTGCCAGCTGTGGGGCAACACGACCCAGGCGGGCGGCTATCTGGTGATGACCATGGATGGCGTCGAGGCTGCCGTCTTCAACGAGCACCCGGGGCAGGTGAGGTTAGGGGGAGGTGGGATGCGGGGGAGGTGGAAGGTGGGGGAGGTGAGAGCTGAGAAAAATGTGGAAATGTTTCAGAGGGCAGATGGGGCAAAGCAACCTAACTGAATAAAGGAAGTCACCTTTTTGTTCTGCTTCTGAACAAACTCATCCAGCTCACTCCAAACCACCACACCTCTCTGCACCCCTCCCCTCCCCCTTCCCTTCCCCCTTCCCCTCCCTCTTCCCCTCCCCCTTCCCGTATCCCTCTCCTCTCCTCTTCTCCCACCACCGCAGCCTCTAGAACCCCCTTCAGACGCCTCCCTTCCAGTCCACCTCACATGGTGCTCACAGCCGCTCTACGGCACGCTAGATGCGGGCATGGTGTGGGCCTGGGCGGAGTACCACCGCGTGCATGCCAACGTCTCCCGCTTCCTCTTCTACGACATGGGCGCCTGGTCATCGTCCCTCACGGCACTCTTCTCGCCGTACTTTGCTGCGGGCATGGCGGCTGTAACTGACATGTCGGGGGGGCGGCGGTTTGGGTTTCACGCGGGGGAGGGAGCGCTCAGCTTTATCACCAAACACCAGGTCGGTGGGGGATTCTTTTTGAGCTTGCTTTTGAACGTGTCGATGCATTTTAGTGTACTGATATACAAACGGTACATACACACACGTACGCGAAGCAGGTACAGGATGGAATTTATGCCTTCTTCAACACCCCTGTTCCCCACCTTCCCACACCAGACCCTGGCAGGCAACGACTGCATGTACCGGTCGCTCTTCACATCCCGCTGGGTCACCCTACACGACACTGACGAGTACCTTTCCCCCGTGCCGCCGCACTCCCTCTCTTCACTGCTCGCCGCACACGCCGACGGCCCCTGGCTCTCCCACGGAGCCCTTGTCGTCCAACCCTCCGTGTGCCAAGGGGAGGGGGAGGCGGAGGGGGAGGGGGAGGGGGAGGGGGAGGGGGAGGGGGAGGGGGAGGGGGAGGGGGAGGGGGAGGGGGAGGGGGAGGGGGAGGGGGAGGGGGAGGGGGAGGCGGCACTGGCGCCTGCCGGGGCTGCTGCGGCAGAGCCTGCTGACTCTGCTGCTGTGCCGGGTGGTGGGGCTGCTGCAGTGGAGGCTGCTGCTGGTGGTGGTTCCGGGGAGGCTGGAGCTGCAGTGAACAGCAACAACCGACAAGAGGAGACAGCACCAGGGACAGCGGGAAACGGCACGCAGGGTGGTGAGACGCAGTGGGACGAAGGTGCAGTGGCGGAGGCAAAGAGGCGAGCCGTTGAGGCGCTGTCTAGACTGGTGTTTCGGCGGCCAGAGGTGTGGTGCTTGCGCGACGGCGCGGAGGGGCAGCAGATTGACTCTGATCTGTGTGATGACTGGCGGGGCCACCGGAAACTGATTCTCAACCCCCGCAAGGTGAGTGAGACGCCTTGCCCTCTCAGGATTCCTTCTCCTAGGGGACTCATCTTCTCGCTCTCGGTCAGATTGCATCGTTAAACTCAAATCACACAAATCACTCCCCTTGTTTAACTCGTCCCCTTTGCTGCATCTCAACCCCACCCCCTCTCCCTCCCTTCAGACGGAGGTGATGTCAATCCACAAGGCACGGGAGCCCGATAAGGGCGGAGTGGTGCTGAACACATTCCCCACCACTCACAGTCATCCCTTTGCTTGTCATCCCCCTTTCCTCCCTGCAGACGGAGGTGATGTCAATCCACAAGGCACGGGAGCCCGAGAAGAGTGGCGTGGTCATGAACACACTCCCCACCACTCACAGTCATCCCTTTGCTTGTCATCCCCCTTTCCTCCATTCAGACGGAGGTAATGTCGATCCACAAGGCACGGGAGCCCGAGAAGGGCGGAGTGGTGCTGAACGCTGCAACAGAGATGCGCCACTTCCACTTCCCTGGCGTGGTCAACCCAGTCAACGCACACTGCCAAACAGTCTTGCCGCCCGGGGAGAATCACGTGTGGTTCATTAGAGACACCACCATTGCTGACCAGCTACGGCTACTAGCCAACGCCTCTGCCGCTCAACCTCTACCTTGAGAAACACTAGGCGCATCACATCACACCACGCTAGATACTTTTGGCTGTTACGGTACCTATTTGTGCTTTGTTGTGTGGAACACCACCATTGCTGAGCAGCTACAGCTACTAGCTAACGCCTCTGCCCCTCGGCCTGAACCCTGAGATCATTAGGAGCAGTACAGCACATTGGATACCGGTAGTTACTAGCTAACGTCCCTCTCTACTCTTACACATGTAATCTATGTTGCAAGAGAATTTGCTGAGAATATGTCGTCTCTTGCTAGCATGTAGCCCCTCAGCCTGTTCGTTGGAGCATTAGGTGCATTGCACACCACTGTTGTAAGGGTCCCTGCAGCCATGCTAGGTATGCCAGGGACCGCTATTGATATGTTTGGCCACCATTGGTTGCGGGTGGAACAACGCTTCTGCCCCAACCAGGACTGATCTGGGAGTGCTTGATAGGTGGGGGGGGGGTGACCATGAGCTACGTGTATGCATCGTGTGGTGTCACAGGTACCGTGGTACCCACAACGATGCAGTTCAACCACAAACTGCAAGTGACTAAGGAATGTAACTAAGCTGTGCAGGCTGACGCTCTTGGCCCATTAAATTAACTAGCGGCCAACAACAGACACAATGAGGCACAATGCTGGAACCTAATGCAAAGAACACCATCATCCCTGCGTTTCACTTCCAACACATGGCTGAACTCTGAAATTGCACCGTTTACACAGCTACCTCCACTGCTAAGGCTGCTCGCACCTCACTACACCACTACAAACCCGGTGATTCACCAAGAGTAATCCACCACAGCTACTCCACTGCAGCATCTCACTGCAGGTACATCCACGAAGGCGGTCCCGGCGGCACCAGTGTCATGAGGCAACAGCTGCTCGGGCTCTCTTTGCTTCCATGTACTCGCGCTCGCTCACTGCCTTCTTGGCATGCCGGCGCTGCAGTAGAGAGGCAGTGATGGGAAAGAGGGAGAGAGAGAGAGCAGCGATGTGAAGGGGCGGCGGGAGAGGCAGCACGCACACGGAGCACAAGTGGCGGTGGTGGTGGCGGAGGTAGTGGTTCTCCGGTTGCAAGTGTCGTTGTGGTGGTGATGGGGATTGTGGTGACCGTACGCACAAAACATGATATAGATGAAGTGGTGGCAGTGGTGGTGGTGGGTCTCACAATGTAAGCATGGTGGTTGTCAACAATACGGGTGACGATGGTGGTGGTGGTGGTCTCTGCTGCGCTCTCCACCTGCCTCACCATGCCCCTCGCCCTCGCTGCCGCGTATCGTTGCTCCTCGTCCTGCCATCACCCAATCCGGCAGCACACGGGTGGGGAAGGCATGGGGAGCATGAGGCATGAGTGAACTGGGCAAAGTGTGCATGCACCACAAGGGACTGAGAGGACATGGAAAAAAGAAGACAAGAAAAAACCGAAACAAGAAGTAAAACCACGATGGCTTGCCTTATGAAACACATGGACGCCGGGCATAGAGCACGGGGCAGAGGGGGAGGCGAGAGCCAGGCAGCGTACCTGGCAGAGGGGGTTGGACTCGGCAACAGTGCCGTGCACGACGAGGGAGATGTTGTACGCTGCTATCTGCGTGCCATGGCGCATCCACACACACACACACACACACACACAGAGAGGGGCAGGGCGGAGGCAGCGCCATGCAGGGAAGGCAGCGGGGAGCATTGGAACTTGCAAGGAGGATAGCTGGCATAGAGGAAGCATGAGGGACGGGAGAGAGCGATCCAAGCATGATGGGGGATGCGAATGTATGGTAGGGCGTGAAACGGGTGGGCATGAGGCGGGTAGGCATGAGGGGGGTGGGCACAGCAGCACAGCATTCACTCATACCCGCCTACCAGTTGGTCCGAGACGACCCAGGGGGCGTCCAGCACGACTTCGTCAACACTACGGCAGGCGAGCAGAGAGAGGCACAGCAGGTGCCATCACGGCATGGCACACGCTCAGCAACACAGCACAGCGTGCACTCACCACAGCACACAGCAAGGACGCACCAGTTGGTCCGAGACGACCCAGGGGGCGTCCAGCACGACCTCATCAACGCTACGGCAGGCGAGCAGGGAGAGGCAGCGCTCGTGCATGCCCATGATGGGGTGGTGCTGGCCTCTGTTCGCCCGCACAGTCGCGTCGCTGTGCACGCCCACCAGCAGGAACGTTCCCATCTCCTTGGCTGCTCGTAGCGTCTGTGTGCGGAGGGAGGAGCGTGAGGGGAAGAAGACAGGTGGTGAATATGGTTTGCTTCTAGTTTGCTTTGCTTTAGTACGTTGTTGAATGGTATGGAACGGTATGAAGGACACGTGCCCCACCTGCACGTGGCCTACCCCACCTGCACGTGGCCTACCCCACCTGCACGTGGCCTACCCCACCTGCACGTGGCACATCCCACCTCCACATGCTGCATCTCACCTGCACGTGGCCTGTGATCTCACCTGCACGTGGCCTGTGATCTCACCTGCACGTGGCTCAATCTCACCTGCACGTGCTGCATCTCACCTGCACGTGCTGCATCTCACCTGCACGTGGCCGCTGTGGAAGACGTCGAAGGCCCCATCAATGTACACCACGCGCGCGGATGGGTCTATGCTGCGCGGCTGGGCGCGCGGATACGGGGGGTGGAGGAGGGGGAAACCGGGGAAGAGGGGAAAAAGGGGGGACGGAGCGTGATGAGGGGATGGAGAAAAGGCACTGGGGAGATACAGAGAGCGAGGAGAACGACCAAAAAGGCCGTCGCTTGTCACCTCCCATTCAAATTCTTTGTCACTTCCCACCCAAATTCTTCGTCACCTCCAATTCGACTTGCCCCCTCCCAGCAACCCCCCCCGCCCCGACCTACCTGCTGGCTGTGGAGCTCGAGGACGGTGGAGGTGGCGGGGAGGAAGCGCGACACGCGCGCGGAGGCGAGGGGCGCGAGAGACGGGGGGAGCAGGGGGGATGAGGCGGCGGAAGAGGAGGGGGAGGCGGGCCAGAGAGAGCCGGACGAGGCGGAGGAGGGGAGGGATGCGCAGCAAGGGGAGGAGGGTAGCGCGGGCGCTAGAGAAAGAGGGGAGTGCGCGGGGAGGGGTGCGGGGGAGCTGGACAGGTGGGCTGGGGAGGATGGGGGAGAGTCGCGGTGGAGGGGGGGAGCGGCAGAGGCATGCGCAGGTGATGACACGGCTTCAGTAGACGGCGCATGGGAAGGGGAGGAGGTCGGAAGGAGAGACGGTCGCAGGGGCGAGCATAGAACAGGGGAGGCGGAGAGAATGGCGGGGGGTGGGAGCGGAGAGGAAGGCCGAGGCGGAAGCGACGGCGATCCAACACGGGGAGATCCAGAGCGGTTACAACGCTCTGAGGGCGAGGGCGAGGGCGAGGGCGAGCCCGTGTGTGCAAACTCGCGCTCCAGCGACTGCTGCTGCTGCGCCTCCGTTACAGCCGTGCGGCTGCCCACGCAGAGCAGCATGCGGCCGACAATATCCGTGCTGGAGATCCCCTCCGTGCGGCGTACTTCCAGGTACCGGCCCGCCTGCTTGGCTTCCGCGTACGCGTCGGAGCCGTCGGGGAGCAGGCAGGGGTCGTCGCCGTGAATGATGAAGTCGACGCGGTGGTGCGTGAAGAGGCGGTGCATGAAGGCGGGCGTTATGCAGTACGGCGTGCCCACTATCACCTCGTCCACCCACTTCACCTCGCGCACCATGCGCACTCTTCAAGGGGAGGGAGCGGGGAGGGGGATGGGAGGAAGAGCAGAGAGACGGATGATGAATTCGATGCGATGGTCGGCGATGGGAGAGGCGAGGAAACGGGGGACAAGAAGGGGTTATTCGTTCGTATGCCCAATTATGTTTCTAATTGTTATAGATTCTCCCTTCGCACTCTGCATAGGAGAGGCGAGAAGGGGGGAGGGTTGCTTTAAGAGGTCCCAAGATGCGGTGGTAGAAGGAGGAGGTGGAGGAAGACCAGTGCGATGTAATACGACAGGAGGTGCGGGTACCAGTGCGTTTAAGATTGGAGGCCGAGGTGGAAAAGGAGTGTGGGGGTAACACGGAGAGGTCGGACGAATCAGGGTTTTAGGTGGCCTCCTTCGAAACGGCTTCGGACCGGCCGGCTACTGTACGCAACGGCGGCAACGATATATGTTTAATCCAGATCTCACCTGCTCCTAAGCTACCTGATCGGAGCGGGGAACGAGAGTGGTCGGAGGTTCAATTATGTAGAATTATTCGCGTCCAACGTCACTCCCATCAGAATCATTTAGTTTCTTTCGACCTGAGAAGCTAAAGCTCACCTGTCTTCAAGCGACACGACGGGAGGGCCCTTATTCAAGAGAATTTCCTCGTCTGAAACTACACCGACCACCAGCTCGTCGCCTAGCGCCTTCGCCTGTCGAAGCGCGTTGGCGTGGCCGTAATGCATCATGTCGAAGCATCCGTCCATGTATACTCGAACGGGCCGCCGCGGCGAGTCAGCCATCCCTACTTTCTCCTTGCCTTCCCTAAATCTAGTTAGAATCACGGATAGAGGCCACGGAAGTCACTTAAGTAATGGCTGGTATTTCTCGTTATATGCTGCCGCGGTTAATGCTACTGCGGCTAAAGACAAGGATGCTGGAATAAACCCTAGAGGGATTCGGATTCGGAATCCGTCCAGCATACTAAGCTAAAGTAACATCGTTTGACCCTAAAACGCACATCAGACGCGGCCTCAGCAACATCGGAATATCACGGTTCCATACTAATCGACCTATTGCAAACGAAACTTGAAATCAGCTAGGCTGAAGTTGGAATTAGCTAGGTTGAGGTTGGAATGGAGGAACTATCAGAGCCTGGTGATATGCTTGTGAATAAATGACCGGCTTTAGCAGTTTAGGGATGGACTTCTTGTAAATACCAACAGCAGCTCTACTCCGCATAGGGATTGTCGAGCAAGCAGGGACCAAGGTGGTGCCATGCCAATCCAACACAGCCAAGGGAACTGCGCCGCCAAGGAGCCAGCACAGGGCTGCAATGTCGGGCACTGCCTGCCCGTGCCTGGAACCAAACGAAACCGAGACGACAGCGAACGGAAACCATGAATTTCAGTCAAGTGGACGCAAATGCGCTGTCCTACGCACGTTGAACCAGCACATTCCACGACAATGGGAGCTGGAGTGTAGCGGAAAACTTCCGGCGAATCCACCAACAATTCCCGTGAGGTTGCAGTTGTGACTCCGGATTCGGGCAGGAGCGCGCTAGCGAAAATAAATAATTCGGCCCTTGAAATCTGCTGTGTGAATATTCAACGTGCTGAACGCCAATGGCATGGGGGGTCCAGCCCAGCACGGTCAGTTGAAACTTCCCACCAAACCGGCCATGTCAGCAGCCCTCTTGCGAATCGCGGGCCAGAATCTAGGATCCCTCCAGCGCCCGAGGAACCCTGGGGGAGTGATTCGTTAAAGCCCAAGATCAACATGGTTTTTGGCGAATTTTCTGTAGGGCTTTAAATGTGTTGGCGAAAAGCATAAAAAAACATTTCGGGAATATGGGCGGGGCGAAAGCGAGATTAGGCTGCGAAGAGATTGGGAAGTCGTCACTCATCGGTATGAGTGTGCGACAAACCAACCCAACCAAACCAACCGAGTTACCTCACCAGTCTTGTTAGTAGTAGTCAGAAAACTTCCCGACAGTCAGAAACCGCCGCATAAACTACGCAGATTTTAGGAACTCCACCCGCGTATACACAAAGTTGTTGTGCATCGCCTCCCGTCGTTGCGTCTCCCCTCGCGGCACCCCCTGTCCCATCGTCACACCCTCGCCGCACCCCCTGTCCCATCGTCTCCCCTCGCCGCACCCCCTGTCCCATCGTCACACCTCCCGGATTTAGGGTACCCTCGTTTTTGGGAGCCTCCCCTCGTCGCGCCTCCGCTCGCCTGGCCGCGCCTCTGCTTGCCTCACCGCGCCTCCGCTCCCCTCGTCGCACCTACGTTCGCCTCCCCTTGCCTCCGCTCTCCTCGCCGCGCCTCCGCTCTCCTCGCCGCGCCTCCGCTCTCCTCGCCGCGCCTCCGCTCTCCTCGCCGCGCCTCCGCTCTCCTCTACAAAATTTCAGAAGGAAAAAGACTGCAAAAGCATTTCATGGGGACTGCTTGATGTTTTTTCCTGCCACCAATGCTCGTGGTTTATCATGTGAAATGCTAGAGCAATCTTCACGCTTGAGCTTTGTTTGAGGAATGATTGAAAGGTTTGCATGAGCAATCTTGACCAGGCTCGGCAAGCAGTGCACCAGCCAACGACCAGCATTGCTCATCCTCACTACAGCAAGCAAAACAAATCATTTAGGCGCCTTTAATAACGGATTAATTTTCACAGTACACTCAGCTTATCATAAACTAATTACGAAAAAAGAGAAAATGCAAAACTGGTAGGTACTATTATAATCGTAAAAGCATGACACATGAATTATCTTCTCTGCTAGGAACTGTAAGTATTGGTAGTACTTATATTTCAATACTTCTATTTCAACGCAACCTCAGGTCAATAACAACCATTACTACAATACCTGGTCGGCCTTACCAATTAAACCCCAACATCCTAGATACCGCGTACAACATCCACACACAGCACAATTATCATGCAATAATGAACACAGTAGTAGCTCATTTCGACCAGAAAGAGATTCTGCACCCAGTAGCACAAGCAGCAGAGTTAGGTCCACACAGCAAAGGTTAACAGAGATGCACCTACGAATCAGTCATGCCCTTAATATGCCTGGAAATGCACTGCTGGGCGGCCCTGAAGGAACCGCGATGAACTTTGCAATAATCTGGCGATAAATCTTCCGGAAGATATTAAAAATAGGGCGACAATATTCTCGAAGGCTTGACGATAATCTCGGAAGTCGCTGGTATAAGCGTTGTCATGCGCGCTTGTATTCTGCAACAACATAGGTGCTTGCATTAGCCAAAGCGTACTTGCCTGGAACATAAACTCACCTGAACGAGCACACAACCGGACCAGCGTCAAAAGGTAGCGTCATCGCAAGTTTCATGCAGCCTGGGCGAGTTTCACAGCTGAATCGTCCAGCACAACGGTTTTTTTTTATCCTGCTGGAGGGAGGATGTAGGAACAGATTAAAGAACATAAGTTAGCAATGTGAACGTAAGGAACGAACGGATAGACTGCAGCAGCCATTAACTCGTGCAATCTGAGCGAGGAAAACAGATAGAAATACTGGAGTGAAATAGAAAGTGCCTGACTGTGGAAGATTATGAGTTGTGAGAGAGAGGCATGTTGAATGGGGTGCTGTTGTGTGGTGCTGGGCCGCACGTGAAGATTGTCGAAATGTTGGCGACTTAGTTCGCGAGGTCGTCAAAACTGAAGTCGGTTTGAACGTACCGCTCATACGGATTCAGAGGCATCATGACGATGCCTAGCGAAAAAATTGGAAACCCTACCTTGTGAGCTTCAGTTCGCCCAGACTAGTCCAAATCCCATCCGTGCTGTCACACCAGATCGTGACAACGCACCTTCACAAGTGACGCGGTTTCCTGACACGTCAGCAAAACCTTATCTGACAAAAAATGTCGCTATAGTCTGCTCTGTTATAACGCCACAAAATTTCCTTCGACCTGAATTCTGTTTTTAGTTTCGCGCAAGCTCGAAACCACCGTACATCCAACACAACCGAAGTAAAAACGCTGTACCAATCCAATTTGGCACGTGCGGGGCGAGTTGGGTGCGAACCTGCTGGCGGCTGCAGAGACAATGGGGAAGGGGGTGCATTGTTCACCAATTTTTCAGCATAGGTTCTGCACTGCTAACCCTCGTAAACACTGTTTCTAGTGACCTCAGCCATTGCTCGTGCAATGGACAGTGCGCAAGGATGGGGGAAACCCACATTTGGGCATGGGATGTGGCGTTCCACATTTTGTAGAGTCCTCGCCGCGCCTCCGCTCTCCTCGCCGCACATCCCCTGCCATCAGCGCGCCAACACCCTCGTCGCGCTGCCCCTCCTCGCGCCTCCACTCCCGCTGCCCTTCTCCCACTTGCCCATCCCCTTGCCCTCGCTTCCCTGCCTTTCCATTCCCTCTTGTTACCTTACCCTCGATTCCCTCTGCTTCCCCTCATTCCCCGTCTCCTTCCCCTCATTCCCCCCTCTTCTTCCCTCGTTTACTCCCCTGCTTCCTCTCGTTTTCCCCTCAGCTCCCCCTGGTTTCTCCCCTGCTTCCCCTCCTTCCCGCCTCCGCTTCTACTCATTCCCCCCTCCTCTTCTCCTCATTCCCCTTTCCGCTTCTCCTCATTCCCCTTCCGCTTCTCCTCATTCCCCCCTCCGCTCCCCTTGTTTTCCCCTCTGCTTCTCCTCATTCCACCCTCCGTTTCTCCTCATCCCCCCCCCCGCTTCTCCTCATTACTACCCCCGCTTCTCCTCAATCTCCCCTCCGCTTCTCCTCATTCCCTCCCCCGCTTCTCCTCATTCCCCCCTCCGCTCCCCTTGTTTTCCCCTCTGCTTCTCCTCATTCCACCCTCCGTTTCTCCTCATCCCCCCCTCCGCTTCTCCCCATTCCCCCCTCCGCTTCTCCACATTCCCTCCCCCGCTTCTCCTCATTCCCCCCTCCGCTTCTCCTCATTCCACCCTCCGCTTCTCCTCATTCCCCCCTCCGCTTCTCCTCATTCCCCCTCCGCTTCTCCTCATTCCCTCCCCCGCTTCTCCTCATTCTCCCCTCCGCTCCCCTTGTTTTCCCCTCTGCTTCCCCCTGGGACTTCACATTCTCTCTGTGATTCTCTGTCCCCTGGTCCCCCATGCGCAACCCTGTGCCCAACAAGGGGTGGACGATGCAGGCCGCTTGCTGTGTCTCTTGGTACCTTAATAGACTGCCCCTCACCCTCACCCTGCGCCCGCTGTGCCCCCTCTGTCCCCTCGGCCTCCCCATGCCTTCCCATGCCTTCCCATGCCTTCCCATGCCTTCCCATGCCTTCCCATGCCTTCCCATGCCTTCCCATGCCTTCCCATGCCTTCCCATGCCTTCCCTCACCCTCGCTTACCCAAACTCACCCTCGCTCACCCAAACTCACCCTCGCTCACCCAAACTCACCCTCGCTCACCCAAACTATCCTACAGCTGTTTGAAAGTATTGCTTCTACTCTCACGTTCCCTCCCTCCCACTGCATGCCACAGGGAGGTGGTGGTGGTGATGGTGCTGCAGAGAGGCAAGGGCGCAGAGGTTGGTAGGGCTGAAGTTGAGAGAGACAGTGGAGGGCGCGGTGGGAGAGTAGGGCCCGTGAGAGACACGCACTGCTCTCACAGCTCACCTGCCCCTTGCAATGTACCGCTGGCACCGGATGAGCCTGCCTCTCTACCTGCTGCCATGGCCCACGCGGGGGTGGTGTCAGACAGTGCGGGGCAGACACAGGGCTGCTGTGAGTGCGAATGCTCGTACCATGCTTGTGTCAGAAATAGGCTTAGAAGCGATGCATTAGTAATGAGCTTGAAGCTCTTTAAGTACATCCAAGAGGGGTAGGAAAAGGATGGGGAAGGGAATCGGGGGCAATCTCTAGGGATTGGGGGTAATCCCAAGGCAATCTCCAATTGGTGGGTTGGAGATTGGTTGGAGATTACATTTGGGTTTGGTTGGGATGTAGGTGTACACCCAACCAAACACAATGTGCAAACTACACTAC